TAGAATTTTACTTTAAATATCCAAAATATCAAATTTCCAAACCGGATTTGAAGTTTGAATATTGGTTCAATATTCTAACTATCTAAAAGCTTTTTTGCTTAACCAAAAGAGTTTTTGAAATAGTTTCAAAATTCAAACCGGGTTTGGAAATTGATATTTTGGATATTTGAAGTAAACTTCTAAAAACTCAGAATGTAAAAAGTGTTTTGGTTATACAAAACATGGTGTTTGAATCAAAATTCTACATTTCTAAAAATTTTCTCGACAAACGATAGGTTGAAAATTGAAAAGTTTAAAAAACAAAAATCGTTTTTGGAAATTTGAACTTTGAATGTTTAGGGTAAAATCTAAAATATTAAAATTTAAAACCTGTTTTGAAATTTAAAAATTTAGATTTTTGAACTAAAATATTTCATTTCAATATATCAAATCAGTTTGAATTTTTGAAATTTAGAAATTTGAACTATTTACATTCTAAAATTCTAAATCATTATAGAAATTTAAATTGTTAAGTGTTACACAGACCGAAAACTGATCTTCGTTTTAATTTTTTTTTGATAAGTTTAAGTCCAAACCATTTTCAATTATTATTTAAGATAATTTTAAGTCTATAGCTATTAGAAATATTGATGAGATATTTTCACTGCAATGTTACATGTATGTATTTTATCTTAATTTGTTAAATGTAAGAGCCAATAAAAAAAATATTTATTACTAGTTCAAATATTAATTTGATAGTTTATTTATGTGAAACACGTAGATATAAAATAAAGTCTGGTAAAAATACTTATTGTTATCAGATTTTTTAGTGAAATAGAATATAGTAAGACGACACTTAACAGTTTACATATTTGTGCCTTTGATCTAATAACTAACTCCATGTCAATATTAACATAACACTAGAATTAAACGAATTTATTTCTAGGATTTTAATTACCGAGGATAACCCTATCAAACAACGTAAGACCACTACAATGTAAGGACTGACTGTCGCAGCAATAGGTGTGACGACAGACAAGGAAATCAGACACAGCGTCATGACAATCACTACCATCTTCCCGCTAAATCTCCCGGACAGATACCCGCCAATGAGAGGCGTGATGGGAAAAGTGTAGAAATAGGATTGTAAAATCAGCCCCTCCATTTCATTGTCCCAAACAATGTCCCAAAGCTGGAAATTAAACGAAAGAGGATAGAGTCAATGAAAATAATTTGATATACGTACAATATCAACGTGAATACTAACAATTGCAAACTCTACCATGTTAGTTTAAACAAAGATACTGTAAATGATTAGTTTTATATTAATTCACAAAACTAGCTACAATGACATCTTTTACCCCTCTCTGTGTTGTCAAATTTCTTGTTACATTTGAGTAGTTTCTCATGTCAGCAAAGTTTGTAGCAGCGTTGTAATTAGATTCCATGCAGACGACTGCCATACTCATGCACTGACGTAACATAATAGAACACGTGACGATAATAAAACAAGAAAACGTCACCATCCAGCGACATGATGTATATTTCTCTACGAGTCCTTGTTTCAGGAGTTCTTTTGAACTGTAGAGTGGGGCTGTAGAGGAATTTCGAAACGATGTCACAGATCCTTGGTGCTCCCTTCCGTTGGTATGAATCTCGTTTGTGAAGGAAACTGTTGATGGTCTCTTTGTTAACCCATTGGGGGAACCTTTCTCTTCTAAAATAACAAGAATAAAGAATATTAATAATTTTATTTAAAATTTAACTTTCTTTCTTCAATCAGCTTATGAACAGCATTATTTCCGTCACCCTACAGCCTGAGATATACATCGCAGATGAAAGAAAGAACATAAGAGCATGCTCTACTTTGCCTTTTAGTAGTCCTAACACGTTTTACGGTGTCTAAATCTTGACTTCTTTCTAGATATCGAGCCTAGCTGAATTTCAGTCTATGGTAAACTTTCAGAGTTAACATTTTTTAATGTATCCAGAGATTCAATTTACATATTATCTCATCAGATTTGATTTAATTTATTTGTTGTATTTTATGAACCATACATTTAAACTGTTTAAACTATCCTAAAGTGTAATTACCTGTTGCTGATCCTTCCATTCTGATCATTTGTTTGAAATGAGTATCTTGTCTGTTTTGTACTAAATTTTTATACAGTGGTAAGGTATAACTACCCACAATTCTGCTTGTGAATTAATTGGCATAGGGAACGTGTGAAAATACAGAACGCTTATGAGGTGATGAAACCGGTTCGAATTAAAATACTTTCTTGGTAGAAAACATATCACAAGGTCAAGCAAAGTTTCCATCACTATTATGATATTTTGCTAAAATCGTTTCCTTCAGAATCTATTAAACAATATATATGAAAGTATAAAGTTTCATTCATTCATTCAGCGGGGATAAAGTGTTCAGCTATGTTACGTCAATGTACATGTATATATATATTTAAATTATTGAATTATAAACTAGTAAACTTATCAGTCGCTTACAATGGTCGTGATGGTCGTGAGGGAGAGGGTTGTTGGACAAACGAAACACTGCCCGGCACTTTTTACATACATGCTCAAGAAACAATATTGGTTTTGAGGAAATTAACTTTTGATCGCTCCAAAAACAAGATATAAACTTGTCGCAAGGATAACCAAACTTGGCATGAGTGACGCAATGCTTATATGATGGAATATTGCATATGAAACATTCTTGAATAGGAATGAGTTGATGCAATAAAATCAGCTGTGATATTAATGCAAGGACATGTATGGAAGTCTCTACCTAAAATACGATGAGCACAACAAGCCAACAAGTAATAAATTATAAAAACCCAGAGCAGCTCCCACAATGCACATTTGGAGTACAACTGACTTTTTAGGAAACTTGGGAAACAACTTATTCATCTGGAAAACTGATTGATTATGTTATAAAATAATTATAAAGATGGTTTTCAGGAGTAGAGATATCAGATGATTGTAAAAATTCACTTTATCTAGTTAGTTTATATTTGATTTTTTTAAAGGAGGGATGATTGATTGTATGTTTACTGAATGAAAGCATCTAAATGTTTTACATCCCTTCTTCCCCGGAAAACAATGAATTATTTTGTCAATAGGTGACATAGCTAGTTCTCTTTAAAGGGTCAGTGAAACATCAATAATAATTACCCTTGAAATCATGAACCACCGATCTACACCACATAACTCAGTAAAAAGTGTAAAAATATAATTTTAAAAAAGTCTTTCAATATTAAATTTGATTTTTAAAATCATGTATTTCCACTCTTCAATATTATAACAGTTTACTTCCATAAGTAGGAGCCAAAATGTGTTTTAAATGCATGCTTCTAAAGGTCATTAAATTCTAGCCATTGACAAACAAATGAATTATTCCTGGATATAAAGTTTGTTAAAAACAATTATTTCTTTTAAATTACCAAAATTAGTTCCAAAATTCATTAAAGTATATTTTTTCGGGGCTGAACAAATTAAGATAAAGGGTTGTTCACAACTTTACTTGGCTTCCATATTTTAAAAATATATATACCCATTTATATATAGTATTAATTCAAAGTAAAAATTTACTGTAACGGGCGATACTTTAAAATGGGTATGTACAAATAGCTGTTTTCGTGCACTGTTGTCGCTAGTATTTTGTTTCTCTTTCATTTTGATTTGAGACATTTAATATTTATTCAAACTTTGATGGTGCATGTGAGTTTTTTTTAAGATGATAACAAAAGTGAGAACGTTTTAAACGGAAGCAGGAGAGGGTCGATATCTTTTACCACAAATCAAGACATCGCTTCAAAACCCCATGTAGATGTCCATTCGCCTCACCACCATCCAGAAGGACCCCTTGGCAAGTACCTCTCCTGCCGGTGGGTCGTGACATACATGTGTACCCTGGTGTTTGTGGTCGTGCCAATGCTACAGAACTGCTTATCGATGGTTCTTGTCTGTATGGAGTCAAACTACAAAGACACAACAAATATCTTAAAGCACAACCAATCGAACACCACCAATAATATGACAGCGCCCGAAGAAAAGAGTGTAATTATTTTATATGCTTATTTGCGAGGTAAAATCAGTAAATAATTGTTAACAGAATATTTTTTAATCTGTAGCGAGAGAAAAAGAATTCTTGCGAAATATCTTTATTTCTAGACAAAGTTATTGTGGTTTTGAAAATTGCTTAATGAATCCTGGATCCCTGGATATAGTTTTGGTATTGATTGGATAAAACAGAATTCAAGCTACACGAAAACTCAAATTGTCGGTGTTCGTTCGATGATTTTTATTTATGAAATTGTTAAACACTAAATATGCTTGAATGTGTAATGTGAGTATTTTGCCAAATGCATCGAAATTGATTAGATCATATTCATTACTTACATATCACAGTCTAATATATGCACAGTTACCGATTGCAAATTTTCCATGTATTTCCCAATATCTAAATATGTGCTTATAACAAGGAAAACCAACCATTGTTTCTAGGTATGGAACATTCGACTAGAGGGTGACGTCAGAAGACAGGTTTTATCGGCGGAGTTTTACGCCTTACCGTTTACACCTCTGATTGGTGGATATTTATCTGGAAGATTTAGCGCCAAAAACATGGTTCTTTTCATACTCGTCCTAACGGCCGCCTTTTCATCTGCCACGCCCATAGTATTAACCGTTAATCCCTACGCTGCAATCGTGCTTAGATGTGTGGTTGGCCTCTCTGTTGTAAGTATTTAATATTTAATTCTAGTTATCGAATGTTTACCGTATTGTATTTTATTCATGAGTTATCACTTTCATCACAAGGGTGGTTTACAGGCCAGCATCACTGAATTGTTGGCGAAGTGGGCACCACTCAATGAACGGGCGCAACTTGTCTCTATGGTAATGGCAGGTACAAAAAATATATCATTTCTGTGGAAATCAATTTATCCGCCATGCGCAGCCATGCAAAATACATATATTTTATTAATTATTTCGATATAAAGTAAATACATTTGAAATGTTCTTCCTCGAGTATTTAATGCATCACTATAAGGTTATTGCAAAAAAAATTCCTTTGATGACATTATACAAGCTTAAATCCAATTCTAAAGAAAAAGATATTTGTTTATATAAATATGTCTTTAATGGTTTATGATTTGATTCAATGATTTTTGTCAAATGGGCCGTTCTCTTCCTAAATCAATGCCATGAGTTAAATTTAGAAAAAAATCATTGGATATAAAAACACATCCAAAAACAATTGAAGAATTATTATATATGTACAAGATTTTTTATTGATTTCGCGTTCATTTTATGCAATAATGACTTTGAATGACGTCTCCTGGAGATTCTTAATTTTTTCAGGTTTATTTATAAGCTACGTTGTGAATTATTCTGCCTCTGGTTTTCTCTGTACGATCCCAGTTCAAAATGGCTGGCCACTCATTATGTACATCTTTAGTAAGTAAATTATTCTTAAAGAATACATTAATTTCAACATCATTTACAGTTTTTTCGCATATCATGTTGGGCAATAATCATGCATTTAGTCGTTTCAATTTGAAAAAGAATTACCTTTGATCCATTACTTAAAAAATATAAATACTTTTTTTTTCAACAATATCAAAGGTGGTTTCAACCTCCTGATGATATTACCATGGGTTCTGTTGGTGTATGATAGTCCATACGAACACCCTCGAATCACTCTGCCGGAAATAGAAATAATCCGACATCGAAGACGAGACAGCACTGTTGCCAAGGTAAGATGATAAATGTTCTGTTTTTCAATGTCTTTTCCACGCTTTTCATGTACAAAATCGTCTTTGAGTAAATGTATAATTAATCACGCATTAATCTAGATGCCACGCCCACCATGGCTCGGCATTCTCAGATCGGGACCTTTCTGGGGAATACTTGTCTGTCAACTCGGCTACGGATTTATTGCTACAACAACTGGGACCTTTGTTCCTCTCTATCTGAATGATGTTCTAAAATTTGACGTAACTTCGGTATGTTCAATGACAGGTTTTTTTTATTATTTTTCTTCAAATACCAGTCCAATGTATACAATCATGTCTATACGGATAGTGTTTTTGATTATAAATTCAGAAAAAACGCATGTATTCCAGTTCTTATTTAATGACGTTCGATCCTGAGCTTTTGAGCAATTTTTGGTCTTGACCTTTATTTCTAACATTAAATCGGAATTCTTCCATGCAAACTGAACAATATTCAATGAAAAAACCGTGATTAAATTCTATTCAAAGAGAATTAGCCAGGAACTATATTTTGTGGCGGAGTTTTTTTTAAGAAGAAAATGATCATTTTTTCCCTTTTGAACTATATACAGTACTGTTAATTTTCAATGCTGGTTGCACACAAAGCTGTTTTTTCAGTGAAATGTGTTATGTTGGTTCTGAAATATCTATTATATTATTGTGAAAAATATAGTAAATATTTTCTGAACATGCAGGAAAAAATTTAAGTCAAATTTAACATTAAATTGACACTTGTTTAGTAATATCTAAAATTTTCAACATATACTTCCACTTTTGATTTTCTGTTCTGAATATTTAAGAAAACTTTGACCTATCTGCTGAAATTCAGCAAAAGTTTAAGACTTTAGAATAATTTTCTTGCTTATGAAATTTTCAATACCAGAAAAATCACATTTTGTGACTGCAGAATCGTCAAATAATTGATTATGCGAAACAGTTTAAAACTTTTTCTTAGTCAAAATTCTAAAGTATTGTTTTTTTTTTAATAGACTGATAGTTTATTTTGTTCCATGCTTTTTTCGACAAAATATTGGAGGGAAAACGTCAAAGATGTAACTTTTTGATAAAACACAAATTTCAGTGAACAAAGACCATATTAAATGTACTTTAGCGCCAAAATAAGCATATTGACCCCTCATTTTCTTACCTGATTTTTAATAAAGCTATGTGTACAGAAACTAAAAATATACCTGACAAAAAAAAACTTAAGACTTAAATATCAGAAGCCAAACTCGTTAAGACGTTCCTTGAATTTATAGGAGCATCTTATATGAAAAGGTTTATTTAAATGTTGTTTTCTTCGATTTGGGAGACTACTTGTTTACTTACAGAACGGTCTGTTGTCCTCCCTTCCCCCTATTGCCCGCCTCTTTTCATGTCTTGGGGGAGGCCATGTCGCTGATCTGCTCATCACTCGAGGAATTCTCTCAACCACTGCTGTCAGAAAACTCTTCCTAACAACAGGTCAAACAGAACATGTCACGAATTAATTAAACATCTTTCCTTTTTCTTTTTTTTTATATTGTTACTTATTTCCACTTATAACAGAGGAACTTTTTTTAAACATGCATGTTCTAAACTTGGTTCTTATTTGCCTTTCCTTGCAATAAAGAATTTTATAAACTCATTATCATAAATACGCACATATATCGCTTGGACCTGAACAACTGGAGATCTATAAATCTGATGATAAATAGCACAGGACTTACTAACATTTAAATCTTAAAAAGTTCCATACAAAAATAGTTGTGCCGCATAGATGAAAGACAAAATAAAGTTTTATGATTTGAGCAACGGGCCGACGTCCTAGCTGCTTTCACACCCCTTGTCTCATTGTTTATTATTACATAATATTGCAGGTAACGTGTTGTCTGTTCCATTTTTAATTGGTCTAAGTTACATGGACAGCTCCCAGGCGAGCTATGCTGTCCTCCTACTTGTCATCTTCTGGTTTATTCAGGCTCTTAATACCAGCAGCCTCCGTGTCAATGTGATCGACATAGCACCAAGGTAAAGCAAAGCCTTTACTGAATAGACATAGCAACAAAGTATAGCCTTCATTAAATAGACAAAGCACCAAGGTATAGCCTTTACTAAGTTGACAAAGCACTAAAGTATAACCTTATTTAAATAGACATAGCACCAAACTTTAACCTTTACTTAATAGAAAGAGTACGAAAATATAACCTTTACTGAATAGACATAGCATTAAGGCATAACCGTTACTTTAATAGACACAGTACGTAAATATAATCTTTACTGATATAGCACCAAGGTATAACATTTACATACTAGTAATAGACATATTACCCAAATATAACCATTACTGAATAGACATGGCACCAAGGCATAACTTTTACGTAATATACATAATACCAAAATATAACCATTACTGAAAAGACAAAGCACCAATGTATAACCTTTACGAACTATACAAAGCACCGAGGTAAAGCCAAGGTAAAGCCTTTGATAAATAGACACAGTACCAAAATATAACCTTTACTGATTAAATTAGACATAGCACCAAGTTATAACCTTAAAGTTTACTAAAGAGACACAAATAGACATAACACCTAGGTAAAGCCTTCACTAAATAGACATAGGACTGCAGTAGACTTTTACACAAAGACATAACACCAAGGTATAAACTTTACTTAATTTACAAAGCACTAAAGCATAGCCTTAACTATTAGTAGATAGACCTAGCACTAAGGTATTGCCTTAATATTTTTTTAGATTAAAATATACAGATTAAATGCGTAAATTTTACAAATTCAAGTGTGGAAATTATGACTGATATGAATCCGTATACCGGTAGAAGATTGAAAAGGTATGTTAGTTATACAAGTATGCATAATAATTGATTGATGGATTGTATACTGTTTAACGTCCCTCTCCAGAATATTGCACTGATATGGAGACGCCACCATTGCCGGTGAAGGGCTGCAAATTTAGGCCTATGCTCGGCATTTACGGCCTTTGAGCAGGGAGGGATCTTTATCGTGCCACACTTGCTGTGACACGGGGCCTCGGTTTATACGGTCTCATCCGAAGGACCGCCCCATTTAGTCGCCTTTTACGACAAGCAAGGGGTACTGAGGACCTATTCTAACCCGGATCCCCACGGGGCTGCATAATAATTACTACCTATCTTGGTTTTTTGTAGGTTTGCTGGCGTGTTAACGGGCATGACGGGCACTGTGTCATACATAGCAGCTATGCTGTCTCCCATCGTTACCTTTGAGCTGACCAAAAACGTAGGTCTCTCTGCCTGCAAAATGAGTATTTTTCCACAATTCTCAGTAAGCTCCAGAAGATAATATGGTGTATGATAACAAAATTAATTTATTTACGTTTTCGGATAAAATGCATTTAATTTTTTGTTTATAGAGAACACAGGGAGAATGGCAAATCGTGTTCTTCATTTGCGCCAGTTTGTCTGTATTCAGTGCTTTGATGTTCCTCTTTCTCGGTAGTGGGGTTGAACAGTCTTGGGCAAAAGATCCTTCGTTCGAGGGGGAGATTTCTGTTGGTGACCCAGTCAAACAGTCTCCAGGGTCAGATATGGAATCTGAAATTCAGATAAAGACAAATGGTCACGTGAATGAAACCCGTGATAATGAACAACCGACCATTGAAACAGGCATAAATACAGATCTGAATATGATTCATTTGAATAGTAATGTAACATCGAAATTTATTTCTCAAGGTTTGCAGGTAAATATAGCTAACAAAGGCATAAATAAACTAAATACGAATGAATCTTCTGAAGCTTCCATCAATAGCGAGTTACGTCCTACTGGAGAAATCAACAGTGCCTTTATTGATGATTGTGGTGATGATGATGATCAGATAAATATTGAAATTAATTCGTCAGGAATTAGCTCGACGGAAATAGTTGGATTGAAAAAGAGAATTCGAGATCCAGTTAAACATTATGAACATGAAATGAAAATTTTTAATGAAAGCGACGTCACCATGTTGTAAGACATTGTGGAAAATCACAACAGATTACCACCACATGTATTTGTAAAACTTATTGTTATGCATGGACAATTTAGCCAAATTTTCAATAGTTTGAGTCTGTGATAATACATAAAACATGCTGTAATGATTGGACAAACAGTGCTTTTGCAATAACCAAAATAACTTAAGGATATTTTGTTGAAATTAACTTGTGTCTATCTTCCTCTTTTACAGCTGTAACCACTGAGCTCACTAAATGATAACCCCCACTCCACCCCCTACCCGACTATCTTATGGTTATAATGGTTAATTCCATGTTTTGCTCTGGGAAACCCAAAATAAGTGTCATATCGGAAGATAAGTAGAAGTTCACAATGGTACTGTGGTTTCATCAATTTTCGTTGTCATCAATTTTTGTGGATTTTGTAAAACAGACGTTTTCAATGATACGTAGTTTCGTGGACTAATGCAAATTGTCTATACAAATGAATAACACATTTCTCAATTCAGTGAATATATAATTTCATTGATCTGGTCAACATCGAAAACTTCGAAAACTAGTGCTTAATTGATGCAACCACAGTATTATTTAATACAGAATCTGTGAAAGAAGGATATGGAGATAATGAACAGTATTCAATATCAAAGTCCATAAAACAATACAAAATAGGAGCAGAGTAAACACGGACCTCCGACACATTGGAGGTGGGATCAGGTGCCATGGAGGAGTGAGTATTCCCTGCTGACCGGTCTCACCCGCCGTGTGCTCTTTGTCATGATCGGGAAATTACGGAAAAATTCATCGTCAATTCAGTGTATAAATAATGGACTTACAATTAGTATGAAAAACGTCAGTCAGCATTTCATTTAATGATAAATTGTATTTGCTGACAAGGTCGTTGTATCGACCGTAGAACTTACGAAATGATGACTTTAAACGAGACTGCTGATATTCTTGTTTCATCAACTTGCTTGTTAATAATTTACCTCGTTTTAGAAATTGTTTATACGTAGAGCATGCTCTTGCGTATCGAATCAACTGAGATTTATAAATTTCGTATGCAGGTGATTAAGGTATATTGCTGCATAAGTAAGGGAAGTTGACGATAGAAAAGTAAAGTCATCATGTTTATCATATAGCTTGGCTGTTCGATTACAATTAACGTCTTTTTCAAGCTAAAGATCAAAGTATGAAACAAATGTGTCAGACTCTGTGGTATCTTTTATCTCAAGCTCACCAGGATATATCGTATCGACATAGGAATTGAAATTACAATTGTTAATTGACAATACGTCGTTGATATATCTAAATGTCGAATTGAAGGCCACAGCAAGTGTTTTCCTTTTTTCACGCATGAGATTTTGCACATGCTTCATATGATTATAAAAATAGGTCTGCTAATAACGGAGCGCAATTGGTACCCATGGGAATTCCAATAGATTGTTGGAATACCTGGTCTCCAAAAACCACATAGATATTGTCAATCAGACACTCAATCACCTCTTTGATGTCAACTTAAGAGTACTTGTGTGTGCAATCAGAATGTGTTTTAACAAAATAATTTTGCAAATGACCAATGACCAGGTAAGTAAATTTACGAGTTCCATTTTTTATCAAAAAAGCATCTGTCAATGATATCAAATAGCCTGGACTTTAATTAATCGTGGGGAATGGTTGTGTATAAAGTTGAAAAGTCGTTAGTTTTTAAGCTGTTGATTTTGGTAAAATCTTGTGATTTCAAATTGTCCAAAAGTTCTTTGGAATTCTTGAGCATCCACATCTGATTCTACGGAAGCCCATTTAGGACCTATCAAAAAATATTTTTGAATATTCAACAGATTTGTTGAATTTGTTATAACCAATTCAAGAATTTGGTTATAACGAATTCAACAAATCTGTAATAACAAATTAAATTCGTTATAACGAATTCAACAAATCTGTAATAACAGATTAAATTCGTTATAACGAATTCAACAAATCTGTAATAACAAATCAAATTCGATATAACGAATTCAATAAATCTGTAATAACAGATTAAATTCGTTATTACGAATTCAATAAATCTGTAATAACAAATTAAATTCGTTATAACGAATTCAATAAATATGTTATAACAAATTAAATTCGTTATAACGAATTCTAAAAATCGTTATAACGAATTCAAAAATATTTTTTGATAGGTCCTAAATGGGCTTCCGTATGATTCACACCACTTCTTGAATAAATTGTTGCACAGTACTCTTGAAGTTTTTCTTTTACTACTGTCAATATCTTAGTGAGGAGTAACCAAAGAGCCTTGGTTGAACATTTACTGGAACCCGCAATGTATCTTTGCTTGTAAGGATTTTTAGGGAGTTTCGGAATCCAATATATATAGGGTAGTTCAAATTCATTTTGGCTCTGTGGAATATTAAAAATATTTAAAAGTGACAAATGATTTTGAAGAATTTCTTCCTAAGAATTAAACCCAAGTTCTTCTAAAATACAATTCATATAATGAGTTTTACAAACGAAGAAAATGTAGTTACCTGGGTTTTTTTTCAGCAGGGACCAGGACGTACTGATCATGTAATCTAATTCTTTTTTCGCTTCTGGATTATTGAACACAGAAGGATAGATGGTTTTCATATTTCCCCTCAATCTTTTAATACGCGACTTTAACATGGATCTGATACATTTAATCCATTCTGACAAGGTGTCAACGTCTTCTTTTCATATCTGGCCCATCGTCTGACGTAATTTTCAACAGAATTTATAATATTTATGAAATTCCGACGCCAGTTGAACGATTGGCGTTCCCTATATTTAGGACCTTTTAAAATAAGTGATCTAAGGTCCTAATTATTAACTATTTTTACGTCATCTGTAATGACGTGTCCAGCAGGACTATACAATGTAGTTATAGGGTGAAGAAGAACATGAAAACGATGAAGGATTATGTTCAGTATCATTCGGTAGTAAAGGAGGAGTTGCGGATAAAAAATGGGTAACCTTCAATATTAGAGAAAAAAAATGTTGTGTCATTGTTATTCTCTTGGAAACTCAAAATATGTGTGCGATCAAAAAGTAGAATAGGAGATGCACAATGGCATTATGTAGCAAAGAATCTGTGAAAGTCTTATTAAATTTCATTCAGTGGTATAAGATTAGTTTCGGATAAGAGATGGGTTACCCAAAGCGTAACAGACGGACGAACGGACATCCCTATCACTATATACCCTCCCTTTTCCATGCGGGGAGTATAACAAGGTAATAAATCCTTACAAATCTTCAAGAAAATAATGGTAATAAAGTTATTATTAATATTTTTTATATAAGTCGATGGAATGGTTAACATCCGGAATATCGGTTCACGAGGGCAACAGATACACTTGGCAGTCGATATTACACATTTAGAAGACAAGGGTTTTAATGAAACCGAGAGAACCCAGAAAAAATGTGTAGAGCAAAAACAAACAAACTGAGAGAGCGTTTGCCACATCCCAATTTATCATTTCTTAGAAATGCCACAAAGACCAAAACGCACCTACTATGTCAAAATATTTGATCAATATTTATGTCTCCGAATATCTTGTAAAAAGAGTTGTACATAAAGTTACTGGTTGTTAACAAGATAATCGAAGACAAAATAACAAAATGTTACCTATAAATTCATGAATACAAATCATTTCCTTGAAAAGCGGGAGGTTATATAAAGTTATCGACATATCGGAGTATCCATCGGTCTGTTACGCTTTGGGGTACCCATCTCTTCACTCCCCCTTTACCACTGAATGAAACTTAACTAGTTTGTACTCAATTGTCATACAGTGGTAGGTTGGTGGTAGTTGGGTGGAAGCTTACAAAGCCTAACATCCATCCAGCAGTTTCTATATGTCCACGAAACGTATTTTTTCATACGGTCATTAATTTACAAATACAAATACAAATACAAATACTTTATTGGCACAAACACAATTAGAATAATTGGCAAAGGCCCACTGAACATCATTAAATGTTTACATATTTTTCAAAAATTGTCAAGTAATTGACTTCTAAGTTCAAAACAGTCTCTGATAAATTTAACAGTAACTTTCAAGACTTTTTGTATATTACTGTTTACATATAATTGTAACATATATTTCTCATTGCTAAGATTATTATTTTTCTTTGTTATGTTATAAATATTACTAAAGAATGTGTTTCTTAGCTTAGAGAAAGAATTACATTGAAAAAGAAAATGTATTTCATCCTCAATCACACCAGTATTACAAACATTTACATAATGAATGACCATTTTCATTTTTTATATGAGCCGCTTAGCTATTTGGGGGAAACTGACATTAATGGAATGTTTAAGCGTTTCCACGTTTGAAAGTTTCATATTGTATCTATGTTCCATGATTTAGACCAAAATTGGCTCCAAATATATGTTTATAATGAAAACTATTCTATCGCTGTTGAAGAAGGTATTGTGTTTTCGTAGGTCGTGGAAGTTTAGCATGATTGGTGCAATCGTTTTGCAATATATATAGTGTTAAGGAGTGATCAAATTCCACAAATCAGCTGTGATATTGATGCATTGACACGAACTTCATATACTGCGGCATATTACGGTGAACCGAAGAGGAAACACTATCTCATTATTCATTAGACAAACTGTGTGAAAATATGATTTGATGTGGCAAAAGTAAAAAATCTTGCTTTAGTATTTTAGAGTCTCTATGTATTTAGGGTTTTTGATCAAGTTCCAAAACTAATTCAAAGAAGATTATCGTATGTATCTTTAGTATACGTAAAGTATAAAAACTGTGTACATTTTTATGGAAAAGAAATCATAATTATCTACAAAATAAGACTTATCTTGGCTTCCGTATATTGAGTATAATTTATACTTTTTGCATATATGTAAATATGAATTTGATTTACAGAGATATGCACTTTTACGGATGACAAATTGAACAGGACAATGGGTAAGTACAAACTGTCGTCCTAATGTGAGTCCTTATTTGAGTCCAAAACACTTGTACTAAATTATATTTAGGAAATTCTTTGTAAGTAAAAATCGTTTTAAGATGCAGACAAAAATGAGAATGTTTCAAAGGAAAAAAGGAGAGGATCAGTGTCTTTTACTACAAATAAAGAAATGTTTTCCAAGACAACTATTGATGTCAATTCGCCTCACCACCATCCAGAAGGACCCCTTGGCAAGTACCTCTCCTGCAGATGGGTCGTGACATACATGTGTACTCTGGTGTTTGTGGTCGTGCCAATGCTACAGAACTGTTTATCGATGGTCCTTGTCTGTATGGAGTCGAACTACAAAGAAGCAACAAATATCTTAAAGCACAACCAATCGAACACCAACAATATGACAGCGCCCGAGGAACAGAGTGTAATTGATTCATCTATTCTATTGCTCGGTATAATGTTTAGAACAACACAGAAAAAGTAGTTGTTACAATGAAGCGCACTGAAGTGGTAAAATTTTTCGTTTGGGTGGAAAGTTTGGGTGTTTCTTATCGGACATCAATAGTTACTTAATGACACGCCAATTTCTTTAGAAACTTGAAAGAAATATTGGTCGTACTACTTTTGAACATCTACTCTTTGCGACTAACAACGTAAGTTACACTGAAATGGAGATTTTAAAATTAAGAAGAGAGAGTTAGAGAGTCCCCGCTTCTGTTAAACACGTATTGCGACGAATTTGTACATAATCATGAATTTTAACTTGTTTTTGGAAGTCGAACACGTGTTTATTCGTTGTTTATGTTGACCCTCAGTTTGATTGGCTATTATATTTATGGAATACCTGTTTTACAGGTATTCGAATGAACTATTTGACCGATTTTTCCTATCTAAAGAAATGGGCGTGTCATTGTATGACAATCAACGTTCTAAATATAGTTCATAACGGTGTATTCAAACGGAAAATTTTACCACTTCAATGCGCTTCATTGTAGCAAATTATATTCTGCAACTTTGCATATGTTTTGAGTTGTAATGATTCTGAAAAGATGCGAAATCTGAAATCTCACAACCCAGAAATAATAAAATGAAAGGAATATGAGCTGCAAGATTGATGTCGAAAAATTTTGTTGCAATATTGTTATTAACTATTAAAATGGGGCATAGACACAATTTTAGTTAAAATGTCCACCTTTATTTTTCCATTTTTACAAATATTTAAACAGGGTCTTTCTAATGATCATTAAAAAAATTTGAACGTCAGTTGTCTAGATACAAGACAGGCTTATAGCTCCAAACCTTTGGTATGTGAACAAGGTCCGTGTCATGTTTTGTATACATAGATTCATATACTAATATATATTCGTTCAAAGTAGAAAATGTCAATAAAAAGGTTAATTCTAAATACGATTCGACAGTTTCTATTGATTTGCTGAATTTCATTTTGTTAAGAATATGAAATGTTCCATATGTAAACAAAAACAAGGCATGAACCTTGTTTATATTATGAAGAACTTTAAGTTCTGTTTCTCGTTTGTTAATCAACAAATGATGTTCAAATTTTTGCTAATCATTAGATGATGCCTTATGTAGGAATAGTAAACATTAATATTGGTTTAAAAATTTCAGTTGGAAACTGTGTTCATGTCCCTTAAAATCAGAGAGAAAAAAGAACATTTATAACTTAATTCGTTATATTTTAGACAGAAGAACTTTTGATGTGTTTTGATTGAAGCACAATTACATTATTGTCTTCCTGTACAATATCGATTTCTTACATACTGAAAGGATAAAGAAACGCATATTAAACTTTTGAGTTAAATTAAAACAATTATTTCAAACATGTTTTCCAGCATTGTTATCATACATTTTAATTCATCCGTAATCAACCCAGTTACCAAAATTTTCTGTGATTTTGAGTGATAATTTCTGAGATATTGATATCAATATGTCGACACCCCCCAAAAATAAAACTAAAAATTCTCATAATCTCCCTTTCGCATCAGTAACAAACTTGATTTTCCTGTGCATTGTCTTCACCATAGCATTTATCTTTTTCATAGCATTATTATTCAACCCTTCCGACGGTAGTCTTAATGGCTGAGATTAGCTGTATCATTCCAAAGCCAACAAATCCCCCCGCCCAATCGAATCCCACGAATTTTCGATTTCGGATGGAATGTACAGAACCCAGAAGGTTTGGTACATGTGAATGTTTGTAAAAAAGTCTCGACAAACACTAGCTACATTTTTCAAGTGTAAACATGCTAAAAAAAATCACGCAGAAGACGCGTACGTGCGCGTTTGAGAGTAAAATCGACGTAAAGTGGCCATACTCGCGTCCCAAATTAGAGCAGCGAGTTTTTGTCAATTTAGGATGAAAAAAATGAGTATGATTGTCTGCTGTATAGATATCAGTTTCAGTGATAATGCCTTGACCATAACGGAAATGGCATGATGAAAAGCCCTATCTTGTTGTGACGTTGTAACGCGCCAACGTCTTCGTCATGGTTGGTTGGAAACATTTTAAGTTCACTCTCTGACAACCAAAAAAATTTTTTATTTAGTTGAAAAGTTGAAAACAATCTGTACAGCAGCAAGTTTTTGCCTTTTTATTCACTTATGCAATATTGAATTCAATTACTAAACCCACAGTAGCTTCTGTCAGCCAAACCACGATTGCAAGAAATTTATACTGACTGCAAATATGCAAAAACGATGTCTATAACTTTAATGCATCGTATGGTACTACATAATTTTACCACAAAATTATCATCATCAACATGCACGTGTTTTTGACTTTTTATCATTTCCCCTACGTGACGCCATACATTTCATGGTTGAGTAGGTTTGACTAGCGATTTTACTGCAAAGTAACCAAAATAAACATCTGACCAATTTTCATAATTTTCGGTGACAAAGTCAATTTTTCCCCATATCATGTTCTTATGCGTTTCTTTTTCCTTTCAGTATATAATACTATACATCTACATAGAAATCTTTCGTCTGAAAACAACCATAATTCTATATATCAATCTAATTAAACATAATGGTTTAAATTACATACATATCTATCGTAATAGCACATCTTTGACAGCAAAATTAATTTCTCCAAAATGCAGCTCATATTGCTTTAATATTACCAGATTGATTTGTGGCACCGACCAGGCATTTGGTCATAACGTTTTTCATACTAATAAATTGTTATTTACACTCTGAATAATGTTTTTTCGCCATTTTCCGATCATGACAAAGAGCACAGCGCGGGTGTGACCGGTCGGGAGAGGATGCTCACTCCTCCATGACCCCTGATTCCACATCTGATGGTTCAAAGGTCCTTGTTTGCTGTCCAGCTATTTTGTTTTCTTAATGAACTTTGGAGCTTGAATACTACCGGGTATTTGTTGTCTCCATATATTTCAGTAAAAAGAAACATTGCATGAAAAAACTAGCATCATTTACAATTAATTTATAAAACAATTTATATTCATGAATCTTTACAATACATATGCCGATTGTAATCACTTTGTCAAAAAGGTACAGTTCAATTACTATAGCTTTAAAAAATTGTTTGATAAACAGTAAAGTTCTCGGTGTTTGTCAGTAAAATACCTTTTCTTGTAGAGTTGTCTATCTTTTCTAGATATGGAACATTAGACTTGAGGGTGACGTCAGAAGTCAGGTTCTATCGGCGGAGTTTTACGCTTTACCGTTTACACCTCTGATTGGTGGATACTTATCTGGAAGATTTAGCGCCAAAAAGGTCGTGATGGTTATACTGCTCCTAATGGCCGCCTCTTCATCTGCCACGCCAATAGTATTAACCATTAATCCCTACATAGGAATCGGGCTTAGATGCATGGTTGGCCTTTCTTTTGTAAGCGTTTTGATAATCATTACGACCTACAGAACATAGATATTTTTAAAAGACAAAGCATTTTAATTAGTTATAATTTTAATTTATAAATTTATTAGGGTGGATTACAAGCTAGCCTCACAGAATTGTTGTCAAAGTGGGCCCCACTGAAGGAACGAGCGCAAATTGTCTCTACTGCCGTGGCAGGTCAAGAAATGATATTATTCTATCAGTACATTTTTTAATACATTTTAGGCAAAAATAATTATATCCATATCAAATATTTGGTATTCCCATAAAGCAAGTGTAAACTGTATTACATGGGCGTGCATCAAGTTGTCAGACTTTTATCAAATAAACCGCCCATGTTTTATAATATGATACGTTTATAGCTTTATATATATATCTTACGAAATTTACTCTCACAAACCTAAAAAAAATAAGTAATAGAAAACATATCTCGTTGGATACGAAAAATAAACATATCGAATCAGAAAACATGGATATTATGATACTTTTTTATTGAAATAAAGTTTTCTTTAATATTTGCAGGATTATTTCTAAGCTTCATATTGAATTATTCGACTTCTGGTTTTATCTGCACCATCCCAGTACAAAATGGATGGCCGCTAATCATGTACATCTTTAGTAAGATTGTCATTTTTAAAGAAGTCTTTCGTCGAAAAGTGTCATTGTTGTTTTCCTTTTGAAACGTTGGTCTTTGAACAATGCAGCGATTTTTTCCCTTTTCATTTTTCTTTATCATATTCAGGTGCATCTAACCTTTTGATGATAATCCCCTGGTTTTTCTTGGTCTATGATAGTCCATACGAACACCCTCGTATCTCACCATCAGAAATAGAAATAATTCGACATCGAAGACGTGACAGTACAGTAGCTAAAGTATGAATAGAAGTGTTCTGTTAATATGTTTACCTGTTATTCTCAGTTGTTTAATATCTTTGCATGTTATACATTTATATTGAGTTTTTTTATCAAGATGCCACATCCACCATGGTTCGACATTCTCAGATCGGGACCTTTCTGGGGAATACTTGTCTGTCAACTCGGCTACGGGTTCCTCTCTACAACCACTGGTACTTTCGTACCTCTGTACCTGAATGATGTTCTGAAATTCGATGTCACTTCGGTATTAAAGGACTTGGGTTATATGTTTAAGCAAATATTGATCATAATGTAACAAGAATTAGGTATTTCCCGATAGATTTTCATTCAAATGAATAAGCAGTAGCTGATGGTTGACCTATTTTATTTATCTCGTTTTGGTATATACCTGCATGGTTATTTTACATGTATACTTACAGAACGGTTTATTGTCCTCCCTGCCCCCTATTGCCCGCCTCTTTTCGTGTCTTGGGGGAGGCCATGTCGCTGATCTTCTCATCGCTCGAGGAATTCTCTCAACCACTGCTGTCAGAAAACTCTTCCTAACAACAGGTCAGACACGACAAAAATTTAAAATTGGAACTTTATTACATACTCCAGTATCAAAAACATCTTTTCAAATTAAAACAGTTTTAATGAATAGATTACTTGTAAATCATTTATACATTGAATTGAAGACGGATTTTACCGTTATTTCCCGATTATGACAAGGAGCACACGGCGGGTGTGACCGGTCAGCAGGGGATGCTCACTCCTCCATGGCACCTGATCCCACCTCTGATGTTCCGGAGGTCCGTGTTTGCTCTGCTCCTATTTTGTATTGTATTATGTACTTTGAAATTGCATACTGTTCGTTATCTCCATATCCTTTTCAGTAACTTTCAGGTTCTTTGCGTTCGTTGTATTATATATATTTATGGCTAAGTATCTTCGTCTGCATAATTAATTTTAACTTTTTCCAGATTTTGTATGGTTGTTCATGATGTAACATGACATTGCAGGTAACGTGTTGTCTGTTCCATTCTTAATTGGTCTAAGTTACATGGACAGCTCCCAGGCGAGCTATGCTGTCCTCCTGCTTGTCATCTTCTGGTTTATTCAGGCTCTCAATACCAGCAGCCTCCGTGTCAATGTGATCGACATAGCACCAAGGTATAGCCTTTACTAAATAGACATAGCACCGAGGAATAATCTTTTCTAAAATGTAAAAGCATCAAAGCATAAACTTTACTAAATAGACAAAGCTCGAAGGTAAACATTTACTAGATACATGTAGACATTAGACCAAAGTACATGTATGTTGGTCTAAGTGGGCTGTTCAATAAATAATGTCATCGGTGCTTGGAAAGAAATGCAAAACGCTTTTCAATGATTTAGTCTTTATGGTTTCACTTTAATATTCTCTAAAAGTCCTTGACGCCAAGGACGATACCCATTTTTTATTGCCCATTATATCATTTTTGTTCATTGAAATCCACCTGCTCGTTTGTCTATAAAATAGACGTGCTGTAGATTTCACATATTTCTGTAAATATTTGTTTGGGATTTTTAACAAGTTTTACCGCAGCTTTAATAAAGCGTTAAATTTCACACTAGTTTACTGATTCTTTACCATGTATTTTTAATGCTGTTTCTCGAATAGCCCTTGTTTTCCAGTTTCCCACAATGAACCTATGTGATGAAAAGAGAACACATAAACTGTTATCAATTCATTAAAGATTCAATTATGAGAGAACGTCAAGCTTAATGTCATATGATTTCTATGCTGTATACCATCGAGCTCATGACATTATCTATTGAACAGCCCTCGTAGCTTTTACTTAATAGGCATAAAATTGAGATGATGTTTAAAGAAAAAGAAACGGCACGAACCTATTTTTTCACTATTTAAACATTGGACTAAGGTATAAACTTCATATTATAAAAGATAAAGCACCAAGGCATAGCTATAACTAATAGACATAGCATCCATGTACATGATCTACTAATTTGACATAGCACCAAAAGAAGCCTTTACTAAATAGACTTAGCTCCAGGGTATAGCCTTATTTAAATACACACAACATACCCTTTACCATGTAGACACAGAACCAATGTATAACACTGATATTTGTTAATAAGACATACCATCACAATTCACAAATCTAGACTACATCTTCAAAATAATGTTATTAAATTATTAAAATGAGGCAAGCGATTGACAAACAAGTTGGTGAATACAATGACCTTGTCAGAAAACACAGCCTTTTCAGTAAGTCCAATGCTGACTAATGTTTTTCAAGTTAATTGCAGATCATTATTATTATACTCCCCGGTTGGAAAGTAGAAGGGTATATAGTGATCGGGTTGTCCGTCCGTATGCCTGTATGTCCGTCTATTATGCTTTGGGGTACCCAATTCTTATCCGCAACTCCTCTTATAATACTTAATGAAATTTAATGAGACTCAAAGATTTTTTTTACATAGTGTGATTGTGCACCTCTTAAATTATACTTTTAGATCGGACACATACATGTATTTCGGGTTTCCCATTGCAAAAGATGGACACGGTCATTCTTTCTATGATATTGAAGAGTACAGATCTCTTATTCGCAACTCCTCCTATACCACTTAAATAATTTAATGATATTTTCATAGATTATTTGTTACTTAATGTCATTGTGCACCTTCTATTTATTTTCTTATCTGATACTTATTTCGGGTCTCCCGGAGCAAAACATTGACTTTTCATAACCATATGGAGTAAGGGAATCATTTAGTGAGCTCAATGCTCATATTACCTCTAGTTTACACTCTTAGGCCATTCCAAGTTTTTTCTCTGTTTAGCGTCCACCCACCTTTCAAAAACCTACCTACCTATTCGCAAAAAACACACAAGCCAAAACATAAAATACAGGTTTAAAAGTCATAAATATGATGCCCTGCAAATGATTTGATCTAACTAAACTGCTTTAATAGAAGAAATATCTATTCTTAAGCAAAAGCAAGGGATTAAATGCTTAAAATACACAGAATATAACTTACTGTACAGAATTATGTGGAAAAATTGACAAAATTCAAAAATTTCTACTAAATTATCAATTTCAGGTCTCCTGATGTTGTGTGTTTTTTCTTATATGGGGTGTCAAAAACCAAGGCGCACGCGGACGCTAAACATAGAAAAAACTTGGAATGGCCTTATTTGTCTAGGAATTTTTCCGGGGAGTCCCCGACCATGACAAGGGGCACGCAGCGGGTGTGTCCGGTCGGCAGGGGATGCTCATTCCTAGTAGTATAAGGCGTCTGGATGGGGGGTTCAACTGAGTGCACTTTTGGGGCTGGGGGGATAGGGGGTTCAACAGAGTGCACTTTTGGGGCTGGGGGATAGGTGGGTCAAGAGAGTGCAGATTAGGGGGGTCTGTGGGGGATAGCTGGGTCAATTCAGTACATATAGCCCCCTAAATACGGGGGTGTTTCACACTGTGTTTACATTATATACTATATACGTTGCTACTAGGACCTGTTGCATCATCTTTTTTATACCTGTTGCATCATCTTTTTATACTTGTTGCATCATCTTTTTTATACCTGTTGCATCATCTGTAAGGGGGCCGTGTGCAAAAATAGGTTTGACTTATCTTTCTGTAAACTATCTAGTCAGCGAGCTTACCTATGCATTGTGACGTCATAAACTTGGCAGCGACGTCATGTTAGTCCTTCACAAGCCGCGATGGCTGCTTATTTTGACACAATAACACAGACTTTCACAGCGCTTAAGACTTCATGTAATAACAGTATGGTCCTATGGATTTCAGTACCAAAACTGATTTTCTACCTTTTTTCTTCCAAGAAAGTTCTGAACAGCTGAATCCTGGATCAGCCTAGATGTTATTTCACTGGATTATTTAATGAATATTACTCTACTGAGTTACCTGGTTACATGGTAAGTTTTAACAAACTTTTCTTTATACATTTTCGATGAAGGTCATCTTTGTATTTATTCATTATTACTGTGTTATATACCTTATGTTTAGAACATTCATATAAACACTGCCATTGTTTACCCTGAAATACACTAGGACACTAAAAGATCCTCAAAATGTTGATAAATCTTTTTTTGCATGAGTTATGATCATATTGTCTCACATTCCTTTTATTGGATCAGTATTCTAAATATTCTTATGAGGAGACTCCTAGCATATCTTATAAAATACTGATACATGCTTTTAAAACAACTAAAGTGATATTCTCAGTTGTCATTTCTAATATTTCTATGAATCTTTAATCACAGTGACCAAAAGAAGGATATGGAGATAATCAATCAGATCATATATTATGCCAATGAACCTTTTGTCTCAAATCTTTTTTAATGAAATATACAGAATCTTTTGCCTTATTTGTCACTCATATTTTTACATTCTGGTGCAACAGTGGCCCAATGAAAGTGGGAAAAACTCAGTCTGAGCATCTCTGTAAATCTATAAACATGTGTGCCCCCCTTTTTTTAAACCTTCATGTATATACATGTATGTATTTTATTTAGTCAGTGATTTCAAACATCAACATGTAAAATATATATTGAGTACTTTAAAAGTGAATATGTATGATTTGTTCACCCTGAATATTCTGACATACTAATGGTGACATCAGTTAAAAGAGTAATTAGTTATGTAAAATTCAGTTTATATGAATGTAAATGGGGTATTTATTCTCAGTTCATGTAAGGTATAATTTGCATGTAACCCAGAGTGTATTTAATATTACTATGATGGGTCATTCTGTGATTGAATTTAAATCAGAAAAAATGTTTACTAAATTTTGGTAAAATACATATGGTATCTTTTACATTTCTGTCCTGTTTGTCTGTCAATTGTTGCTTTACTTCCTTTGTAAAATGAGGTTAATTTGTGCATCACTGAATATTGTATGCTTTTTTTCAGGATCAGCTAAGATGTTGTTTCACTGGATTATTTAATTGGGCATATAATTGGATAATTCTGGTAAGTTTGTCTTTGTTTTGTTTACATTTCCTATGAAGGTCATCTTTGCATTTAACCATGATTATATGGTTTAATTTAATTACTGTGTAATTCTTATGTGATCTAATATCTCTAACATTCATATAAGCACAGTCTTATTTTGTCTAAAATATACTAAGGAAACTTCATATTGTTAATAAGTCCTTTTGCATAAATTATGATATAATGTCGTAATTCATTATGTCTGTTACCCATGGAATTCAGACTTACTAAATTGTGATCTATAAGGAATGTAATAAAAGAAAAAGTAAGAATCTACAAAAGGTTTATCCTTGTTTTGATTCTAAATATGTGGTATATATGGCATACATATATTTTCATTTTCACTTTTGTTTCTTGGTAATGAGCTTTTCAAAAAAAATGTAGGACTACATGTTGTATATGTTAATATCTTTTTGTATGCTGTACTGACAGGTATTAAACAAAATTGAATATGCTGTTAAGAGAAAGTCTGTTAGTGTCTAAAAATTACACTGATAATCATTTTGTATTTGTGATATTAATACAGTAACTGTGCTTCTTTTTTTATCTAAAGATAACATGGTGAACTATTTTCATGAACTTTTTGGCACTGTATTTAAACATGCAATGTTTCATGCAGTTCCTTGTCATATTAACAAAATGATTATATTTTCTACAGTCCTCAACCTGGAAGATATGTTTTATTCCTAACCATCTATAATCCATTCTCTATGAAGTTCAGCCTGTCTGCCCAAATTCCTTTGGAAATACATAGTTAGTCAACCAACATAGAAACAATCAAACTTGAAGGTAAAGTTTCAATGAGATATCATTTTAATTTATTTAATTCTGTTTTATTTAAATGTTTATATTTTAAAATGGATAAAAAAAAATGGATAAAAAACATCTAATAATGAAAATCAATATCATAAAGATAGTAAGTTTTTTAGTGTCTAAATAATTAATCTGATAATCATTTTATTTATGATATTAATACAGTAGTTGTGCTTGTTTATTATCTATAGATAACATGATGAACTTTTCTCATCTGGAGTTAATGTTAAAAACAATTTTTTGAGATTAAAAACAAATATTTTCATGATCTGTTTTGGCATTGTACATGTTGTATTTAAACATGCAATGTTTCATGCAGTTCCTTGTCATATTAACAAAATGATTATATTTTCTACAGTCCTCAACCTGGAAGATATGTTTTATTCCTAACCATCTATAATCCATTCTCTATGAAGTTCAGCCTGTCTGCCCAAATTCCTTTGGAAATACATAGTTAGTCAACCAACATAGAAACAATAAAACTTGAAGGTAAAGTTTCAATGAGATATCATTTTAATTTATTTAATTCTGTTTTATTTAAATGTTTATATTTTAAAATGGATAAAAAAAAATGGATAAAAAACATCTGATAATGGAAATCAATATCATAAAGATAGTAAGTTTTTTAGTGTCTAAATAATTAATCTGATAATCATTTTATTTATGATATTAATACAGTAGTTGTGCTTGTTTATTATCTATAGATAACATGATGAACTTTTCTCATCTGGAGTTAATGTTAAAAACAATTTTTTGAGATTAAAAACAAACATTTTCATGATCTTTTTTGGCATTGTACATGTTGTATTTAAACATGCATTGTTTCATGCAGTACTCTGTCATATTAACAAAATGGTTTTATTTCTACAGTCATCAACATGGAAGATATGTTTTGTTCCTAACCATCTGCAATCAATTCTCTATGAAGCTCAGACTGTCTGCTCTTCCTTTGGAAATACACAGTTAGTCAATCAACATAGAAACACACAAACTTGAAGGTAAAGTTTCAATGAGATACAATTGTAATTTTTATTTATTTATTTATTCATTTACATATGAATTTTTATATTTTTGAATTGATAAGTAAATGATATATGATTTTTTTTAAATAAAGAGGGCTTGGTGGTCATGGTCATGTTTAAACTCTATTGATATCCTTTAGAAGAAGAAGAAAAGGCATAAAAATTCATGATCAAATTTTTAAAACTAAAATGTATGAAATTTTTCTTTGCCAAATGATAGTTAACAGCTGAAGATAGCATATTTATAGAATAAGTTAAATATGGCTAATTTGTTAACCCCCAGCTTCCTTAATAGCATAATTGGTAAAGATAGGAAGTTTTGGCTTCAATTGCTGATGAATTTTCCATTTAATATTAACATTCTATCAAAGAGAAAGAATACTATAATGTGGCTCATTAGGATGACCAGAAAAGAAATCTTAATGACCCTCTTGACTATGTATAAAGATTGTAACCTTATAACTGATGTAAGATGATCTGATTGTGTGGAAATAAAATTTCCTGGTGTTTCTACTACCCAAGATCTTCTTATGAGTGTATGGGACTGCTGTAAACCTTCTCCTGTTTATAAAAATAATACCTTGGAGCATGACACTTTATTCATAAAAGGTACTTTCAATATCATTTCTATGAGTTTGTGTTCTTTCCTTTTAATAATCTAGTGTTATATCTCCTTTAACCTCATTAATATGTATGCTTCCAACATCTTAGATCTGTCTGTATAGTTTCTTCAGCTCTTTGAACACAAATACCCTGATTCAATCTTTTGAGGTAAACATCATAGAGACATCATAGATGATTATCAGAGTGTATATATCACAATCTTGACCATAAGGTCAATTTAAATGGTCAAAGGCACAACAAATGAAAGTGAAAACTTTTCTTTTTTTTTATCAGAATACATAATTTTGTAATAAACAAACACTGGAAAGTTACTCTCATAATGAGCCTTAATGTCTTCCAAGAGTTCAGTTTGGACTTCCTCCATTAATCCTTGTATCTTGTAATCCTTGTATCTCCAATGGTTTTGTGGGCTAAAAATCATGTGTCTTTAACAATCTTTTTTTTTTCTGACAACTGTTTTCTCTTATCTTCTATAAACTTGACTTCTTCTCTAGTCAAAGGTCTTTCAGGGTAATCCAAGTAATTCTCACCCTCTTTTGGTAATAAATGGTTATATTCTTCATTGGCTTCTTCTGCAATCAAGGGTCTTTCTATGTAATCTCTGACAACATTAGGATCACCCTTTTCTGGACATAATTGGTTATATTCTTCTTGAGAAATGATCTCAATAGTGCCATCTTTTTTTTATTTTAACTGGTACACCTCTGTCTACATCTTTCTCTGAAAGAATTCTCTCTCCGAACTGAATTTTACTCATTCCTTTACTCTTTTCTTTACTAGAGGTGTTACCCATGGTTAATATGAAAAGTCAAAATCTTATGTTACAACTTGTTTTTATACCCTTTTTATCTATATGTAGAATTCCATCAAGCTTATATTACATTACAATTTTTTTTTTAACTAAGACATTATTTTTTTTATTTTTTTCAGGATTCTCTAGTGAGAGGTTATGGAAATGATCTATGTCTACTCTTAGAATGGTGAAAGACTCTCAGATTATGCAAAGACTAACAGAATATCCTCTCTTGGAACACTGAAACAAGAAAACCAAACTTAAGAGGATGGAGGATTTAAGAAGAACATAAAGATGATTTCCATCGAATTTAACCAGTACGATCATAGACTGTGGTTTATACAGGATGAAAAGAAAGGACCCAGGATTGTATGTTTCACTGTCAGACACTGACTATGGATAAAGTGTAATCATTTATCAAACTGAGATCTAGTCAAATCAAGTATTGAAAATATGATTTTCTGATAGCATGAGCTCTTTAAAAACTATTTCTCACGGACCTCAAAGTATCTGAATGTGACTTTTATTTTTACCAATTCATATTGAAGACTGTTGTTATGTATGGGAATTACACATTTAAACCTTTTATTTTTCATCTAATTTTTACAACCCCTAGAAATTACACAGATATCCAGATGCTGGATTTAATGGTATTATTTAAATTTCCTGGAATTGTAAATATATTTTGTTTGTGTATGTATCATGTTTAATTTTGAATTTAAAATTTGTCTCAATAGGACCCCCATAAAGATGTAAGTGTCCCATAATCTGTGATGCAATAATATCTTGAATATTTGTTGTCATCCCATATACTTCATACTTACTACATAAAGACTGATAGGAGGAATACACTTTGTTGTTTGGGACACTTTATCAAGGTCAAAGCATGAGATTATTGAGAAGACTACTTTGACAATAATTTGTAACTTACAAACTTCACATCATAAGTACATAAATGAAGAATGAATAGGATGAATAAGAGATTTCTTAAGAAATCTTGGATCATGTTTCTCCTGAATAAAAACCAGTTACTGAGATAACTGATATGAGTCTTGCAATAACTTCAACATTTTGTAATAAGTATAGAAAATATGATTTTCTGATAGCATGGGCTCTTTAAAAATTAATTCTCACAGACTTCAGAGTATTTAAATGTGACTTTTATTTTTTGCCAATTCATATTGAAGACAGTTGTTATGTATGAGAAGTATACATTTAAACCTTTTATTTTGCATCTTATTTCTATAACCCCCTAGAAATTACACAGATATTCAGATGCTAGATTTAATGTAATTATTGCTTTCCTGGAATTGTAAATATATTGTATTTGTGTATATATAATGTATGTGTATTGTACCCTATTTTTAAATTTAAAACTTGAAATATGATAAAGGTCCCTTAGTATCCCACATCAAGATGCAGTTACCCAGTAATCTGTGATGCAATATCTTGAATATTTTTATCATCTCATATACTTCATGCTTACTACACATAACAGCTTATAGTAATACACATAGTTTTAAAGGACACATTTGTCAAGGTCAAAGCATGCGATTATCGAGATAACTACTTTTGAAAATAATTTGTAACCTACAAACTTCACATCATAAGTTAAGAATGAATCGGAGATTTTCTATAGATTTTAAGATCATTTTTCTTCTGGGTAAAAGTCAGTTGGTAAGATTACTAATATGAGCTTTGTAATGTTGAAACTTTAACATTTTGTTATAACCTAGAGACTTTATATCTGTTATATTGGGTGACATGGCATATTCTTTGGAAAGAATTGGAAATGTAAATCAAATGCACAACAAGGATGTTTAAAGACTATTACTATGTAATACCTAAGAATTCTGTAAAAAATCTTATTATCACTGCATAGATAAAGACTGGTTGGAATAATATAAGTTTTGAACTAAGGTCAAGGGGAAAAACCCATTCATAAATAGATCTGCATGGGGAAGACTCCTCTAGATCTTCATTCAAAAGTAAAGAAAGTATTTTTTTTTTTAAGTTTGAAAGATTGAATGGCAGCATATCATTTGCTTATGAATTTAAAATGAATCCAAACATATACATCTTTAGATGATAACTGTAGAATTTTTTCAATTCCTGGACTTTCTGTTTTGATATTTTCCTTTATTTTCTGTAAAATGTAATGATTGTCTTTTTTATTTTAGTTGCATTAGTTTCTTTTTGGCATGTAAGAATGACATCATCCAATTTGAAAGAAGTTCATCTACATTTTATATTTAGGAGAGAATTTTTCATCAAAGGTTTCATTTTTGTTTATATGGAATGCTAAGTTCTGTTGATTTCCCTTTTTCCTACTAAAGACATACCAGTAGAGTAGTAAATGTACATGATGTGTCAGCAAAGCGTGCGGAAACCTGATGACTTTATCATTTCTGATTAAATCAAATTATGAGTTTCATCTTTGTTACATTGTAATAATTCCTAAATAGGGCACACACCAGAAACTCTTAAAATGATCTCTACTGTTTTAACTGAGCATCAGGCTTTAACAGTACATAACTATTCCAAATGATTTTTGGACGCTTTTGTATCAAAAAGACAAAACAGTTGGTTCACAGATGTTCCAAAGAAAAACAGCCACAAAGAAATGATTTGTTATGTTCTTTGATTGATTCATGTAAAATATATTTTAAAAAGTATACTCTAACATTTATCTTTTGCATAAATAACTTTTTGTGGAGAATTTTTCATAACTTTAAAAAAGTAGTCTTATTGTGTAATATGGTTAGCTTAAAATCTTGTAGACTTTAAAGTTTTACATGACCTGTCACACATCTTACATGTGTAACCATTTCATTTCAGGGTATTCAGCATATATTGTGGTTTTCTCTTAAATTTATTTGCTTATGTAATCAATAATTTGAGAATACTCAAATTAGGAAATGTAAGAGAGAATAGGCAAGAAAATCAGGGTTAAAAAATGTTTTTACTACAAAGGGGTTAATCTATTATTTAATATATAAGTACATTCAGTCTATACATTTCATTAAGGTATGAAATAAACTTACATTTGAGTATTTTAAGACAATTGTAAATATTACTTTAATCTGTTTAAAAAAAAAAATGACGAGATTTACTGTCAGCATGTTATTTCCTATAAAATAAAAAGAAAACAAACAATTTTATTTGAGTCAGTTTTTCTTTAAATGTAAATAAGAAGCATTGGAAGTTGGGAATATTTCACAAAGTTGATTGAATATAATACTCACTAGGATAGTTGGAGTATTATGATTTTACCTTAAAGGACACCAGTTTAAATTTCAATATACAAATCATGATTAGTCATGGAGTATAAAGTTTACACTTGCCAAAAAGTAAATGGTATCTCTATTCAGGGTCAATCCAAAGGAATGAAAACAATGTTTCTTTCTATGTATCAAATTTGAAGGATTTCTTGCAATAATTTCACTGTGTTCCTGTTCTGTTTTCTTTCTATGTATGGATAACCCTAACCTGTTCAATCAGAATACGAGAAGTAAATAAATTATGTCAAATGAAGAAGGTGCACAGCAGAAATTTACATGAATTGAACAGAGAATTCCGAGTTTCCCTCAAATATGGCACCAAGTGATGTAAATTTAAAAGAAAATGTGGATCCATCTTATGATTGAGACTAGTACATATTATGAATGATGGGCATTATGACATTTAGAATGACATTACATTGATTCAATTATATGGACAGCTCTTAATCCATACAGTCAAAATGGAGGAAATATTTTTCTTTATAGGCATAAAGTAAGAAACACTCACCCAATTCATCAGAATTTTGCTCTTTAAAGAAAAGGAGCCTTACTTGCTTTGTTGAGTTGACATTCCTATTTTGTCTTTGGTAGGTACACTGATGGTTTCCTTGACTATAATGGGAACTTTTTATTTAAAAGTCCTCAGATTGTCCTGATATTTTGGTTAAAATAACTGCATGTAAGGCTCCTTTTCTTTAAAGAGCAAAATTCTGATGTAATGTCATTCTAAATGTCATAATGCCCATCATTCATAATATGTACTAGTCTCAATCATAAGATGGATCCACATTTTCTTTTAAATTTACATCACTTGGTGCCATATTTGAGGGAAACTCGGAATTCTCTGTTCAATTCATGTAAATTTCTGCTGTGCACCTTCTTCATTTGACATAATTTATTTACTTCTCGTATTCTGATTGAACAGGTTAGGGTTATCCATACATAGAAAGAAAACAGAACAGGAACACAGTGAAATTATCGCAAGAAATCCTTCAAATTTGATACATAGAAAGAAACATTGTTTTCATTCCTTTGGATTGACCCTGAATAGAGATACCATTTACTTTTTGGCAAGTGTAAACTTTATACTCCATGACTAATCATGATTTGTATATTGAAATTTAAACTGGTGTCCTTTAAGGTAAAATCATAATACTCCAACTATCCTAGTGAGTATTATATTCAATCAACTTTGTGAAATATTCCCAACTTCCAATGCTTCTTATTTACATTTAAAGAAAAACTGACTCAAATAAAATTGTTTGTTTTCTTTTTATTTTATAGGAAATAACATGCTGACAGTGAATCTCGTCATTTTTTTTTTAAACAGATTAAAGTAATATTTACAATTGTCTTAAAATACTCAAATGTAAGTTTATTTCATACCCAAATGAAATGTATAGACTGAATGTACTTATATATTAAATAATAGATTAACCCCTTTGTAGTAAAAACATTTTTTAACCCTGATTTTCTTGCCTATTCTCTCTTACATTTCCTAATTTGAGTATTCTCAAATTATTGATTACATAAGCAAATAAATTTAAGAGAAAACCACAATATATGCTGAATACCCTGAAATGAAATGGTTACACATGTAAGATGTGTGACAGGTCATGTAAAACTTTAAAGTCTACAAGATTTTAAGCTAACCATATTACACAATAAGACTACTTTTTTAAAGTTATGAAAAATTCTCCACAAAAAGTTATTTATGCAAAAGATAAATGTTAGAGTATACTTTTTAAAATATATTTTACATGAATCAATCAAAGAACATAACAAATCATTTCTTTGTGGCTGTTTTTCTTTGGAACATCTGTGAACCAACTGTTTTGTCTTTTTGATACAAAAGCGTCCAAAAATCATTTGGAATAGTTATGTACTGTTAAAGCCTGATGCTCAGTTAAAACAGTAGAGATCATTTTAAGAGTTTCTGGTGTGTGCCCTATTTAGGAATTATTACAATGTAACAAAGATGAAACTCATAATTTGATTTAATCAGAAATGATAAAGTCATCAGGTTTCCGCACGCTTTGCTGACACATCATGTACATTTACTACTCTACTGGTATGTCTTTAGTAGGAAAAAGGGAAATCAACAGAACTTAGCATTCCATATAAACAAAAATGAAACCTTTGATGAAAAATTCTCTCCTAAATATAAAATGTAGATGAACTTCTTTCAAATTGGATGATGTCATTCTTACATGCCAAAAAGAAACTAATGCAACTAAAATAAAAAAGACAATCATTACATTTTACAGAAAATAAAGGAAAATATCAAAACAGAAAGTCCAGGAATTGAAAAAATTCTACAGTTATCATCTAAAGATGTATATGTTTGGATTCATTTTAAATTCATAAGCAAATGATATGCTGCCATTCAATCTTTCAAACTTAAAAAAAAATACTTTCTTTACTTTTGAATGAAGATCTAGAGGAGTCTTCCCCATGCAGATCTATTTATGAATGGGTTTTTCCCCTTGACCTTAGTTCAAAACTTATATTATTCCAACCAGTCTTTATCTATGCAGTGATAATAAGATTTTTTACAGAATTCTTAGGTATTACATAGTAATAGTCTTTAAACATCCTTGTTGTGCATTTGATTTACATTTCCAATTCTTTCCAAAGAATATGCCATGTCACCCAATATAACAGATATAAAGTCTCTAGGTTATAACAAAATGTTAAAGTTTCAACATTACAAAGCTCATATTAGTAATCTTACCAACTGACTTTTACCCAGAAGAAAAATGATCTTAAAATCTATAGAAAATCTCCGATTCATTCTTAACTTATGATGTGAAGTTTGTAGGTTACAAATTATTTTCAAAAGTAGTTATCTCGATAATCGCATGCTTTGACCTTGACAAATGTGTCCTTTAAAACTATGTGTATTACTATAAGCTGTTATGTGTAGTAAGCATGAAGTATATGAGATGATAAAAATATTCAAGATATTGCATCACAGATTACTGGGTAACTGCATCTTGATGTGGGATACTAAGGGACCTTTGTCATATTTCAAGTTTTAAATTTAAAAATAGGGTACAATACACATACATTATATATACACAAATACAATATATTTACAATTCCAGGAAAGCAATAATTACATTAAATCTAGCATCTGAATATCTGTGTAATTTCTAGGGGGTTATAGAAATAAGATGCAAAATAAAAGGTTTAAATGTATACTTCTCATACATAACAACTGTCTTCAATATGAATTGGCAAAAAATAAAAGTCACATTTAAATACTCTGAAGTCTGTGAGAATTAATTTTTAAAGAGCCCATGCTATCAGAAAATCATATTTTCTATACTTATTACAAAATGTTGAAGTTATTGCAAGACTCATATCAGTTATCTCAGTAACTGGTTTTTATTCAGGAGAAACATGATCCAAGATTTCTTAAGAAATCTCTTATTCATCCTATTCATTCTTCATTTATGTACTTATGATGTGAAGTTTGTAAGTTACAAATTATTGTCAAAGTAGTCTTCTCAATAATCTCATGCTTTGACCTTGATAAAGTGTCCCAAACAACAAAGTGTATTCCTCCTATCAGTCTTTATGTAGTAAGTATGAAGTATATGGGATGACAACAAATATTCAAGATATTATTGCATCACAGATTATGGGACACTTACATCTTTATGGGGGTCCTATTGAGACAAATTTTAAATTCAAAATTAAACATGATACATACACAAACAAAATATATTTACAATTCCAGGAAATTTAAATAATACCATTAAATCCAGCATCTGGATATCTGTGTAATTTCTAGGGGTTGTAAAAATTAGATGAAAAATAAAAGGTTTAAATGTGTAATTCCCATACATAACAACAGTCTTCAATATGAATTGGTAAAAATAAAAGTCACATTCAGATACTTTGAGGTCCGTGAGAAATAGTTTTTAAAGAGCTCATGCTATCAGAAAATCATATTTTCAATACTTGATTTGACTAGATCTCAGTTTGATAAATGATTACACTTTATCCATAGTCAGTGTCTGACAGTGAAACATACAATCCTGGGTCCTTTCTTTTCATCCTGTATAAACCACAGTCTATGATCGTACTGGTTAAATTCGATGGAAATCATCTTTATGTTCTTCTTAAATCCTCCATCCTCTTAAGTTTGGTTTTCTTGTTTCAGTGTTCCAAGAGAGGATATTCTGTTAGTCTTTGCATAATCTGAGAGTCTTTCACCATTCTAAGAGTAGACATAGATCATTTCCATAACCTCTCACTAGAGAATCCTGAAAAATAAAAAAAATAAAATCTTAGTTAAAAAAAAAAATTGTAATGTAATATAAGCTTGATGGAATTCTACATATAGACGAAAAGGGTATAAAAACAAGTTGTAACATAAGATTTTGACTTTTCATATTAACCATGGGTAACACCTCTAGTAAAGAAAAGAGTAAAGGAATGAGTAAAATTCAGTTCGGAGAGAGAATTCTTTCAGAGAAAGATGTAGACAGAGGTATACCAGTTAAAATAAAAAAAGATGGCACTATTGAGATCATTTCTCAAGAAGAATATAACCAATTATGTCCAGAAAAGGGTGATCCTAATGTTGTCAGAGATTACATAGAAAGACCCTTGATTGCAGAAGAAGCCAATGAAGAATATAACCATTTATTACCAAAAGAGGGTGAGAATTACTTGGATTACCCTGAAAGACCTTTGACTAGAGAAGAAGTCAAGTTTATAGATGATAAGAGAAAACAGTTGTCAGAAAAAAAAAAGATTGTTAAAGACACATGATTTTTAGCCCACAAAACCATTGGAGATACAAGGATTACAAGATACAAGGATTAATGGAGGAAGTCCAAACTGAACTCTTGGAAGACATTAAGGCTCATTATGAGAGTAACTTTCCAGTGTTTGTTTATTACAAAATTATGTATTCTGATAAAAAAAAAAAAGAAAAGTTTTCACTTTCATTTGTTGTGCCTTTGACCATTTAAATTGACCTTATGGTCAAGATTGTGATATATACACTCTGATAATCATCTATGATGTCTCTATGATGTTTACCTCAAAAGATTGAATCAGGGTATTTGTGTTCAAAGAGCTGAAGAAACTATACAGACAGATCTAAGATGTTGGAAGCATACATATTAATGAGGTTAAAGGAGATATAACACTAGATTATTAAAAGGAAAGAACACAAACTCATAGAAATGATATTGAAAGTACCTTTTATGAATAAAGTGTCATGCTCCAAGGTATTATTTTTATAAACAGGAGAAGGTTTACAGCAGTCCCATACACTCATAAGAAGATCTTGGGTAGTAGAAACACCAGGAAATTTTATTTCCACACAATCAGATCATCTTACATCAGTTATAAGGTTACAATCTTTATACATAGTCAAGAGGGTCATTAAGATTTCTTTTCTGGTCATCCTAATGAGCCACATTATAGTATTCTTTCTCTTTGATAGAATGTTAATATTAAATGGAAAATTCATCAGCAATTGAAGCCAAAACTTCCTATCTTTACCAATTATGCTATTAAGGAAGCTGGGGGTTAACAAATTAGCCATATTTAACTTATTCTATAAATATGCTATCTTCAGCTGTTAACTATCATTTGGCAAAGAAAAATTTCATACATTTTAGTTTTAAAAATTTGATCATGAATTTTTATGCCTTTTCTTCTTCTTCTAAAGGATATCAATAGAGTTTAAACATGACCATGACCACCAAGCCCTCTTTATTTAAAAAAAATCATATATCATTTACTTATCAATTCAAAAATATAAAAATGCATATGTAAATAAATAAATAAATAAATAAAAATTACAATTGTATCTCATTGAAACTTTACCTTCAAGTTTGTGTGTTTCTATGTTGATTGACTAACTGTGTATTTCCAAAGGAAGAGCAGACAGTCTGAACTTCATAGAGAATTGATTGCAGATGGTTAGGAACAAAACATATCTTCCATGTTGATGACTGTAGAAATAAAACCATTTTGTTAATATGACAGAGTACTGCATGAAACAATGCATGTTTAAATACAACATGTACAATGCCAAAAAAGATCATGAAAATGTTTGTTTTTAATCTCAAAAAATTGTTTTTAACATTAACTCCAGATGAGAAAAGTTCATCATGTTATCTATAGATAATAAACAAGCACAACTACTGTATTAATATCATAAATAAAATGATTATCAGATTAATTATTTAGACACTAAAAAACTTACTATCTTTATGATATTGATTTCCATTATCAGATGTTTTTTATCCATTTTTTTTTATCCATTTTAAAATATAAACATTTAAATAAAACAGAATTAAATAAATTAAAATGATATCTCATTGAAACTTTACCTTCAAGTTTGATTGTTTCTATGTTGGTTGACTAACTATGTATTTCCAAAGGAATTTGGGCAGACAGGCTGAACTTCATAGAGAATGGATTATAGATGGTTAGGAATAAAACATATCTTCCAGGTTGAGGACTGTAGAAAATATAATCATTTTGTTGATATGACAAGGAACTGCATGAAACATTGCATGTTTAAATACAACATGTACAATGCCAAAACAGATCATGAAAATATTTGTTTTTAATCTCAAAAAATTGTTTTTAACATTAACTCCAGATGAGAAAAGTTCATCATGTTATCTATAGATAATAAACAAGCACAACTACTGTATTAATATCATAAATAAAATGATTATCAGATTAATTATTTAGACACTAAAAAACTTACTATCTTTATGATATTGATTTTCATTATTAGATGTTTTTTATCCATTTTTTTATCCATTTTAAAATATAAACATTTAAATAAAACAGAATTAAATAAATTAAAATGATATCTCATTGAAACTTTACCTTCAAGTTTGATTGTTTCTATGTTGGTTGACTAACTATGTATTTCCAAAGGAATTTGGGCAGACAGGCTGAACTTCATAGAGAATGGATTATAGATGGTTAGGAATAAAACATATCTTCCAGGTTGAGGACTGTAGAAAATATAATCATTTTGTTAATATGACAAGGAACTGCATGAAACATTGCATGTTTAAATATAGTGCCAAAAAGTTCATGAAAATAGTTCACCATGTTATCTTTAGATAAAAAAAGAAGCACAGTTACTGTATTAATATCACAAATACAAAATGATTATCAGTGTAATTTTTAGACACTAACAGACTTTCTCTTAACAGCATATTCAATTTTGTTTAATACCTGTCAGTACAGCATACAAAAAGATATTAGCATATACAACATGTAGTCCTACATTTTTTTTGAAAAGCTCATTACCAAGAAACAAAAGTGAAAATGAAAATATATGTATGCCATATATACCACATATTTAGAATCAAAACAAGGATAAACCTTTTGTAGATTCTTACTTTTTCTTTTATTACATTCCTTATAGATCACAATTTAGTAAGTCTGAATTCCATGGGTAACAGACATAATGAATTACGACATTATATCATAATTTATGCAAAAGGACTTATTAACAATATGAAGTTTCCTTAGTATATTTTAGACAAAATAAGACTGTGCTTATATGAATGTTAGAGATATTAGATCACATAAGAATTACACAGTAATTAAATTAAACCATATAATCATGGTTAAATGCAAAGATGACCTTCATAGGAAATGTAAACAAAACAAAGACAAACTTACCAGAATTATCCAATTATATGCCCAATTAAATAATGTATTTTACCAAAAGTGAAACAACATCTTAGCTGATCCTGAAAAAAAGCATAAAATATTCAGTGATGCACAAATTAACCTCATTTTACAAAGGAAGTAAAGCAACAATTGACAGACAAACAGGACAGAAATGTAAAAGATACCATATGTATTTTACCAAAATTTAGTAAACATTTTTTCTGATTTAAATTCAATCACAGAATGACCCATCATAGTAATATTAAATACACTCTGGGTTACATGCAAATTATACCTTACATGAACTGAGAATAAATACCCCATTTACATTCATATAAACTGAATTTTACATAACTAATTACTCTTTTAACTGATGTCACCATTAGTATGTCAGAATATTCAGGGTGAACAAATCATACATATTCACTTTTAAAGTACTCAATATATATTTTACATGTTGATGTTTGAAATCACTGACTAAATAAAATACATACATGTATATACATGAAGGTTTAAAAAAAGGGGGGCACACATGTTTATAGATTTACAGAGATGCTCAGACTGAGTTTTTCCCACTTTCATTGGGCCACTGTTGCACCAGAATGTAAAAATATGAGTGACAAATAAGGCAAAAGATTCTGTATATTTCATTAAAAAAGATTTGAGACAAAAGGTTCATTGGCATAATATATGATCTGATTGATTATCTCCATATCCTTCTTTTGGTCACTGTGATTAAAGATTCATAGAAATATTAGAAATGACAACTGAGAATATCACTTTAGTTGTTTTAAAAGCATGTATCAGTATTTTATAAGATATGCTAGGAGTCTCCTCATAAGAATATTTAGAATACTGATCCAATAAAAGGAATGTGAGACAATATGATCATAACTCATGCAAAAAAAGATTTATCAACATTTTGAGGATCTTTTAGTGTCCTAGTGTATTTCAGGGTAAACAATGGCAGTGTTTATATGAATGTTCTAAACATAAGGTATATAACACAGTAATAATGAATAAATACAAAGATGACCTTCATAGAAAATGTATAAAGAAAAGTTTGTTAAAACTTACCATGTAACCAGGTAACTCAGTAGAGTAATATTCATTAAATAATCCAGTGAAATAACATCTAGGCTGATCCAGGATTCAGCTGTTCAGAACTTTCTTGGAAGAAAAAAGGTAGAAAATCAGTTTTGGTACTGAAATCCATAGGACCATACTGTTATTACATGAAGTCTTAAGCGCTGTGAAAGTCTGTGTTATTGTGTCAAAATAAGCAGCCATCGCGGCTTGTGAAGGACTAACATGACGTCGCTGCCAAGTTTATGACGTCACAATGCATAGGTAAGCTCGCTGACTAGATAGTTTACAGAAAGATAAGTCAAACCTATTTTTGCACACGGCCCCCTTACAGATGATGCAACAGGTATAAAAAAGATGATGCAACAAGTATAAAAAGATGATGCAACAGGTATAAAAAAGATGATGCAACAGGTCCTAGTAGCAACGTATATAGTATATAATGTAAACACAGTGTGAAACACCCCCGTATTTAGGGGGCTATATGTACTGAATTGACCCAGCTATCCCCCACAGACCCCCCCCCCCCTAATCTGCACTCTCTTGTTGAACCCCCTATCCCCCCAGCCCCAAAAGTGCACTCAGTTGAACCCCCCATCCAGACGCCTTATACTACTATTCCTCCGTGGTACCCATTGGCGGATCCAGAGGGGGGGTTCCGGGGGTTGGAACCCCCCCTTTATTTTTTGCCAAGTGGAGAAAGAGAGAGAAAGAAGGGGGATAAAACGTTTCCCAAGAATAAGTGTTTGTACGTCTAACTTAAATATGTATTAAATAGATAGATTCTCACACATTTAGTTTTTCCATTCACCTTCACTATTACTTTTTATGAGTGAATGGTAGAAAATATTCTACTTATTTTCATATACTAGTATCTTACATGTATATATGATATGTAACATGCGAGGTTGAATTTGATATTAGATTCCCGCGATCTTAATTTGGCTGTGTTGGCTATATACAAGAAGGTGCCGTTTTTTTAAAATTAAATCTTATGAAGGAACTAAAATTTAATTCATTGTTTTATACCCAACCCAAAAAGGATTTTCAAATTCTTTAAGAAAATCCGTTCTACTCTTCGGAAATAATGCAAATCCTTTCAATTTTAAGGCTTCAGTAGTTTTTTTAAATGTGTTAATTTTTTTTATACGTACTGGGGGTATCTTTTCAAAGAAAAAGGGACGTAGAACAAAGATATTTTCCACAATCTTATATTTTTCCATACATGTGTGTGTGAATCTTTGCCTGAGAGTGTGTAAGGGGGGGGGGGGGGGGGTAGAGGGACACAACCCTGGAACCCCCCTTTCAAAAATTGCTGGATCCGCCCCTGGTACCTGATCCAATTTTAAAGTTTTTAATGGTCCATGCTTGCTCTACTCCCGAAATATGTATTGTTTGAATGGACTCTTGAGCTTGAATACTGTCCGTTATATCCATATTTCATTGAGATTACGAACAGTATTCAAGCACATTTGCCCATACAATGAAAATGAATCAGCACAGCAATTTTTGTTTGGCACACTTTGTGAAAGATATAGGACACAAATATTTTATCAAGAGAAAAAATTCATTTGGACATTGGACATTAGCAAATTTTTTGCAATCTTTTACTTTTGGCTACTTCTGTGCTTTTTGTTCATTAGGTTTGCTGGTGTGTTGACAGGCATGTCAGTTACCGTTTTACATATAGCAGCCATGTTGTCCCCCATCGTTACCTTTGAGCTTACCAAAAACGTAAGTCCTTATTTGTTCATGAATACCTTTTTTAAAGATGTTTATGTTCTTTATATTTGCTTTATTTTGTTAACAATTTTTTTCTTCTCATAGAGAACCCAGGAAGAATGGCAAATCGTGTTCTTCATTTGCGCCAGTTTGTCTGTATTCAGTGCTTTCATGTTCCTCTTCCTCGGTAGTGGGGATGAACAGTCTTGGGCAAAAGATCCTTCATTGGAAGAGGAAATTACTGTTGGTGACCCAGTCAAACAGCCTTCGGAGTCAGATATGGAATATAAAAGCAAGAATAAGATAAATGGACACGCGATTGAAAATCACGTTAATGAAAGGGCGACTATTGAGATTGGCATAGATACGGATCAGAAGATGATGCATTGGAATGGACAAGATACGTCTAAATTCGTTTCTCAAGGTGTGCAGGTAAACAAAGAATACCTTGGAATCGATGAAATAGTCAAAAATCGGACGTTCCAGACTTCAAACAATCTAGAAGAGTGTTCCTCTGGTGGGGTAATCAACATCGCTTTTGTTGGTGAGGATGATAAAACCGTCAGCCAAGAAAGTGAAATTCATCCGCCTGGAATCGGAATGTACTCAAAAGAAACGGTTGGGTTGCAAAAAAGAATTAAAGAACCTTATCATGATAAATTCAAAAATAGTCATGAAATAGCAATTCCGAACGAAAGTGAAGTAACCATGCTGTAATGTTTTCAATCACATAGGTCTAAGATAACTTGTTTGTAGAAATAAAATAAACCATAATCTACAGTATGTCGTCTTTGTTTAACCTTAAAAAACTTCACAGTGTCTGTAATTTTTTTTTCTTGATTAACATAATAAGTTTATTCTACTTCGATGTTGCTGTGAAATCAGATAAAGGAGTACATATATTCAGTATTATGTCTTACAATCAGTTATATTTTTTTTATGTTTCAGCCCATCTGGGTGTATGGCATATATATAAATCAAAAATATTTTATTGTATGTGTGTGTGACTCATTTGAATAGTTAAGACATGTCTAAATTCATTTTCTCAAGGTGAGCAGGCAAAACGGGCAGGTAAAAATCACCACCTACAGAACATCAACTCTTGCTTCTCACCACCACCATCACCTCAACATTATCATCCCACACAACTTCAACGCACCACATTCCATTATCACTATCTATTGAAAATATTGTTGTAGTTGATAGTGCTATTGTTGACATGGTGTGTGTATGTTGACGCAAGGGGTGGTGCTGTGTGGGATTGAGATGTTGTTGTAGTTGATGATACCCCAGGTTATGGTGATGTGATGGATGGAGGTGTTGATTTTAGTGGTTTGGTGTTGCTAGAGTGTAGTGTTGTTTGATGGATATGTTGTTTATGGTACTCTAGGTTATGGTGATATGATGGATGGAGGTGTTGATTTTAGTGGTTTGGTGAGGCTAGAGTTTAGTGTTGTTTGGTGGATATGTTGTTTATGGTATACTCTAGGTTATGGTGATGTGATGTTTGGGGGTGTTGATTTTAGTGGTTTGGTGAGGTTAGAGTTTAGTGCTGTTTGGTGGATATGTTGTTGTTATTGTTGATCGTGCTCTAGATTACGATATTGTTGATAGATAATTATGTTGTTGCAATTTAATATTAGTACTATATCTAGTGATGCTGGAATGTGGTGTGGTGAAGATTGTATAGTGTTTTAATGATTGTGGTTTTAACGGTTTGGTGGGGCTAGAGTTTAAGTTGTTTGGATAGGATAGAGGTATTGTTGTAGTTATTGGTGCTCAAGATGATGGTGGTGCTGTGAATTTACACTTGTGGGGATAGAGGTATGTTTGTTGTTAGTAGACCTGTAAGCGAAAACAAATGATTTAAAAACAGGTCACTTAAAAAGATAAAATGAGTCCATGTCTATGTTTTGCTCTGGGACACCCGAAATAATTAATTGTCAGAAAAAAAGGTAAAACAGGAGGTGCACAGTGGTATTATGTAATAAAGAATCATTAAAATTATTATAAAAGTATTATTAAATTTTATTTAGTGGTAGACGAGGAGTTGCTGATAAGAGATGGGCACCCTTCAATATTAAGGAAATAATAATTACAAAGGGAAACTACGTTTTGCTACCGGAAACCCCAAATATGTGTTGGATCAAAAAGCAAAATATGAGATCGCAATGGCACTCAATCTAATATTAGATAACACTGGCACTATGTTACAAAGACATGCTAGGAGCTCCTCGGGTGGCTTGTACAACGCACACTACATTTTTCACTCTAATGTAGCGTAGCGGGGTCAAATGAGGATTGCCGATTGTAAAAAGATTCTGTGTAAGAAATTTAAGGGGAGTTGCGGATGAGAGATTGGTACCCCAAAGCGTAACAGACTGACGTACAGACGGATGAGGCCACGGTGAGCAACCAGAGTTTTACATTCATGAATAAGAAAATTCTTCTGCTTAAGAGCAAGAAGGTCACGAGTTGTAACATTGATATGGAAGCATCCTGGGGTAGTGCAATAAATTCAAGTTTGTTTCCCAATACTGAACTGGTTTCTACTCCGAACCAATGTGTTCAGGTGAGCGATGTGGCCCATAGGCCTCTTCGTTTAGTATCCGTGATACTGTATAAAAAGAAAGATAACTCTATGATAATTCAGTTTTGTGTATACAATACTACACCCACAAGACACAGGGGCTTGTCACGAAATACTTCTCTTCTTTTAATATAGCTACCCCTACTATAAAAATACATGTATTAAATGTATTTTTATACATGTAGTATGGGTAACTATATTAAAAGAAGAGAAATATTTCATGACAAGCCCCTGTGCCACAAGGTAAAAAAAATACCTAATACCTACATTTGTATAATAATTGATTATAGGTATCACGTTTTTTATACGTGATACCCCACCATTAAAACCAGAATCATTACAAAATTTCGGTAAAATTGATAGGTACGCAAAATTCCTGCGATACACGACAGGCACAAGCACTTGTTTCGGAGATAAAACTTAATTTTAACCCATTAATAACACTAAATATCATTTTTGGATCAAGTGCCAGTTTTTTTTTTCTTCAAAATTTAGAAGTTCGTCCAGAACTTTAAAAACAGGTCATACTAAATTCACTTCGCTTGTTAGTATGGCAAATTCGGGGGAGGGGGGGCAACCCTATACCCACCTATCCCATCACAAAGATTTTTCACTTAGCCTAGTGGCATTTTTACAACAAAATTGCATAAACAGACTCTATTCAAACCCGTTTTTCAACCAGTGCGAAATGTAAGTGACCTTTTATATGAGTTGATCTCCGTTAATCAAAATTTTCTAAATTCAAAATTTCTAAATTCATCTAAGGCAATAACCTTGATTTTTCAGATATTCTTGATATCAAAAAGAAAAAAAAATAGAATTCTTCATCCTTAAAGTCTCTCTGAACCGTTAAATTCCGGAAGAAAATATTTCCTGAATTATTTTTCATTGTTATTTATTTATTTATTTATTTATTTTTATTTTATTTTATGTTATGTTATGTTATGTTACTTTATTTTATTTCATTTTATTTCATTTTATTTTATTTATTTATTTATTTATTTATTCATTTATTTATTTGCCACTTCACGGTAACTGTGGTACTGCTCTTCTGCAGGGCAAGTCATACCAAAGTGAATCATTTAATTTTTGCCCTGCAAAAGAGCAGTACCACAGTTATCGTGAAAGAGCCAATAAAGTAAATCAAGCATCATGTGACACCCCCCCCCCTTTCCCTTTCCCATTTTCCTGAATCTTGAAGCAAAGGGAAGTAATTCAATTTACTTTAGTCGTACTAACATTCGATTTCATACAGAAGCTTTTTCATGCATATTGATCGACTTCATTTTAAAACTTTTATGTGACTTGGATGTATTGATGTCAACAACCACCAAGCGGCAATCCGACTTTCTACATCTAACGTTTTTAACTATTCCAAGTGTTATACTTGCATTTACATTTGGTCTATGCTGCATGATTCGGTACCATCAAACGATCTTATAGTGGTAATGTATAAAATACAGGTATCAGAGTATGTATAAAATATCCCCGGATACAGGTTGAAAAACTCCCATTCCTGTCAACATGAAAATATTCTGTGAAAAATGTTTGATTTCAAAATATTAATAAACGTAAATATATGATTTAAGATAATTGATTGCTTTGACTTTAAACTTAAATTAGAGCCACATATTATATATTTTTTTACAGACAATGTTATCAACCTAAACAAACTGTTATGTTCAGCTGATGCACTGACTGCATGTTCACATCTACATGTATATTAGAATTACTTCATTCATCTATTACTTGATTGATGACATTCTTTATACGAAATTCAAACAATTTGAATCTTTTGTTGGCAAAGTTACTCTTTAAAAAAAGAAAAGTTTTCCAAGATCTAACCCAAATTACCTGGTACAGTAGTTGAAATTTGTAAAATTGTAAATTTCACACACATTCCAAGCTGACATGCTACACTAAGTACTAATGATGACGAATTCTCTGATAATTACTGTACATGTATTTATTTATTGTCCTTTAACCATATGTTGACATGAAAGGATCATGTCAAACACTTTGAAATGAATGATGACAAATTTTATCATATATTGCAATGTACGTAACATAAACAATAATAGTCATGAATGCACTGGAATGTCAATATTTTGTATGATTAAACTATCACTTGGAAGTGCAAATAGCAAAAATAGCTTTACCTTTTAGTTTACAACCTATTTTTTTCAAGGCATTTTTACAATTTATTTACTATACTTTATTAAAAAAGATTGATTGATTGTATGTTATTTAACATCCTTTTTGAGAATTTTTCACTCATATGGAGACGCCACCACTTGCCGGTGGAGAGCTGCAAATTTTGTCCAATTGTAGGCACTCGGAGCCACTGAGCAGGGAGGGAACTTTTTCGTGCCAGCACCTACTGCAACATGGGTCCTCGGTTTATGCGGTCTCCTCCGATGGCCCAGTCTCCATGTCCCATAGTGGGATTCAAACCCGCAATTTAATGATCGACTCCTTACTTCAGGACTCTAAAGCAGATGCTCTAACCACTGCGCCACCAGAGCACCTTTATTAAAGAGGACAGATATTTTGCAGTTCATTATTTAAATGATTAGTAATAGACATGGCCGTGTGCCAGTGTTTTCCAGTCAGAAAATACTGCAATGATTTAATAGTTAACCGTTATTAATTTTCAGGTCATGAGGTCACAGGTTACCAGTCTATCAGTTGTCAGGTCAAAAGGTCCAAGGTCACTTAGTGGATTTTAAAGTCATTAGCCTGCATGTTTTCTGTTTCATTTCTGCCAGATATTGTCCCACCAGTATTCTGGATCATGTGTTCAATCCCTGACCGCTACTGACCTAAGACAATAAACAATATGTTACAGTAGCAACTTTTTCCTTCACCAAGCAGAAGTGATGGTTGGGGGGTCCTTCGGAGGAGACCTTATAAAACCAATTGAGGCCCTGTGTCACAACAATCGTTAGCACAATAAAAGTTCTTTCTCAGCTCATAATGGCCCTGAGTGCTGATCAAAGGTCTAAATTTGATGTGCTTCAGCGGTTTTATGGTGACATAACTCTGAGTGAGAAAATCTTGAACGGGATGTAAATAGCAAACAATCAATCAACCAGTATTTTGGAAAAATTTTGCTTGCTTGACATCAAATCTTGTGCAGATTTTGGCTGAGAAAAGTAAAACATTTTTGATAGAAATCAATGGTATAGCAGATGCAAAAAGTTCAAATTAAAAATTTGCTGCTGTTGATATTATCAGCAGAGGATTTAAGGCCACAATGTATTAACTCATTTATCTCGGACCAGTATATGCTACACATAATGCTGCCATATTCCATCCTGTCTCAAATTTAAATGTTATTTGTACTAAGTAGAATACTTAGTCTGGGCACATATTAGGTTCTGGAAATCTTTGCTATACAGTATATTCAAAAGGTTACATTCTTAGTAAGAGTCGCAGCATTGATTGATGGATATTGATATCTCCATATTGATATTAAGGAGAGAAAATACTAGTACTTTTGTTTTTAGAATGTATTGGTAGCATATCAGTAAAAGTGTACACAAAATTTCCTGAAGAGTCTACAATCTCTGCATGATGTATTTTGCTCAGTATATGAGTGATAGCAGCTAGATTACAGTGGAGGTCCTTGAAAATATACAACTGTTGCTTTGTATAATTGAGAAATTAAAGATATCAATTTTGAATATAATTTAACAAGAGGTACATGTTTAGTGCAAATCCATTTTGAACATTAAAAAAAAGATAATTCATGCTTCAGATCTTGATACTGAAACTCGATAATATTGTTGAGATAATTTTTAATTTGTTAAATTATTATTCCAAGAACTTAAAAATATTAAACTTGGGCAGCAATTCAAATCTGAGGTTGAGAACAACTCTAAGTATCGCTTGTTGTAATGAGCATTCCAAGGAGCACTTTTGTTTAACGTGTACCACTGGCTTAGACAGGAGGGGAACTAGCATTGGTTTTGAATTTTTATTTGAAAATGGATGGGGGCTCAGCAGTTAACTGAAGTGAATTATCATAATTTGTATATGAATGTGAAGAATTTTCATTGCTGGCAGTTGTGTTTAATTTGTGATAATTAACTCTCTTGAAAGTTTTGTTCAGGGCAAGGTGTGCTTAATGTAGATCACCTGTACTTACTACCTGTATAATATATATAGAAATTGTGATTTACCTATATTATCAATTGATCTAAAAAAAAAAAATCTAACATAATTACATCCAAAAAAAATTTTTTTTTGGAATTGCCCATGATACTTATAGTGGTTGCTACTAAATAATTAAATATTTTGATTGCTGTACAATGTACCGGTATACAAATTAAGTTAAATTCTGCCAACTGTAAAAAAAAAAAAAAAAAAAAAAAAAAAAAAAGGATAATTCAAGTTGTAACATCTCATTTCATTGATCAAAAAATGAACATTTTATTAACCTTGTTAACTGTGTTGCCTATATGTTACAATGACTTATTGTGTAGAAAACTGCCTTACTACTAATTAAATTTATTTAGTACTTTAAGTCAAAGTACCTTATGAGAGAATTATAAATGGATTAGTACTGTAACAGGTGGAGATATTTTCATGAAATATTTAAAAATGATCATGCATAAACCGTAAAATAACCCCAACACATTTTTAATTTTTACAGTTAGAAGACAGAAGACCAGATGATTTTTAAGATCAATTTTATATTTCATGGTGAATTCATCTATATGTACACTATTGAGGTCAAGGATCACAGAGAAACACAGGTATGTATTTGTGACTGGAAATTGCGAAAGCAAATACATGTAGGTTGACTGTCATTGGGGCCTCTACACCATTACTCAAGTCTGTTCTACTTTAAAGTATATAGAAGTAACTTCATACTGCTTTCTTCTTGATTATTCTGTGTAAAAAAGGTAGAGCTGGTGACAAAGTTGCTTAACTGACATAGACATTATATGTACCATAAATGTCCATTGATAGGACAGGTAACGTTTACCTGGACAATACAGAGTTGTGATAAGTCCCCCGCGTGGAATGTCAAATGTTTACCTTTCTGATTATACTATACCATTGCAGCACAACAGAAGGCCTGTTTCTTTTTAACCAGTTTGACGTTTTGAGGGAGGGTCGGACTGTCTTTTATTCTCACTGAGAATATAGGTAAGATTAAGGAGTTCTTCATTCTTTGGTTTTACGTAGGTGTTTTACAAATGCAAAATGTAATTTTAACTAACCATGCAATTGTTTAATTACTACATCAATCTGTGTTTCTTTCAGTTAGTGGAATATCTACACTTAAATATCTTGTTACAGGTTGTGCATTCAAGCATTGAAGGTTCTCCTTTGGGAGGTGATGACACGCTCCACAAGAACATTATATTTTTGACAAGAACGTATTTTCCTTCATTAAAACTGGGTCAAAGGATTTCTCAGTTACAAATTCATGTCATTTTGGAGGAAATACTTGCCTTGTGGAAACATTCTGAATATTTTTGTTGTAGGATAAAATTATTTTAAAAAGTGACTGTTTCCTAAACTAGGATTCATATTCCAGGGAATTACTTCTTACAAGGTAAGTAACTGGAAATAAACAAAGGGTATCTCATTTGTGCAAACTCAGTGCATAGTAATAACAAACAGTGTACAAGTTCAATGTAAGTGTCTCCTTGAGGAATTTTAAGGGTTTCTTAGGTTTTCTTTGAGAATCTTGTCGTAAATTAAAGTTCAAATGATAGCTGGGTGTAAATGGGTGTCATAAAAACAGTAAATAATTGATTCACATGACAGCTAGTGTTTGATACATAAACTTTTATCTCTGAGTTGAGAGAGACAGTATCATTGTTATTATGTGGGGACTATAAACATTGGATAATTTCACAGATTATTTGTATGCAGCTTTAATTTTTTACCTGGGGACAACATCACAAGATCCTAATCCTATGATATTTCAATTTATTAAATATAATCTTGTAAGTTTTTGGTGACCACAATAAAGTTTTTTTAAATTTATAAGTATGAAATTACATCACACACTGTTTAAGGATGCCGGAAGTTGTTAAAATGAGCTGGCTATAAACAACCAACAAACAAAATACTTGATGTTGACCTTACAAGTCCTTAACTCGACAAACCCTCCTACGGATGAGGAAATGAGACGCATTGTTCGTGTTCTTTGTCTTGGACATCTCTGTGACCTCTACACTGTGACGACCCAGCATGGACACTTAAGCCAGGTGTAGAGGGCCTGTCTATAACATCTCCATTTTTGTATAGGATTTTATAAAAGGAAAAAAGAGATTACAGGGTAATCTAAGGTAACTTCATGAGGAGTGACAACATTCTTTGATTTGAATGTTATTATCTTGATACCCTCAGATCTTTAGGGATTAAAATATGCATCATTTATGCATGTTTGTAAGTTTTTTGGTAGTTTGTGTATTCATGATGAGAGACATTCTTGTCTTTTCATAGATAAAAAAAGTTAGGGACAGGTTTTTAAACCTAAAATCAGGGTATGGTTGGATGAAGGCATGGAATGCAAGGGATCTGTTAATTATCTGATCTATAGATTCTAAAGATGATAAAGTGTTGAACTGTGGCATTTAGCAAGTAATTTCAATATACAAAGTGATTAGTACAGCTTGGTTAGTACATTTAGTATTGGTGTCTGGGCTGTCTGGGTATACACAGTGATTAGTACAGCTTTGTTAGTACATTTAGTATTGGTGTCTGTCCAGTATACACAGTGATTAGTACAGCTTGCTTAGTACATTTAGTATTGGTGTCTCAGCTGTCCAGTTGTGGTCACTCGGATGGTCATGCAATGTCTGCCCCCTGGTCCTATTCTGGACAAGCTGAGGTGATATTTATTGGACTAGGAAGTTACCTGACAAGGTGCTTCTTAAATCACAGGGACTACATGGAATGACATTGATGGCCATGCAGGAATTCAAGATTCCTTTAAATAAAACAGATTTATAGGGAGGACTTGTTCCTATGTATGATGCATAGCATCAAAAGAGAATTGCTATTTCTTGTCATCAGACACCTGTCTTTGCCTTATTACTCCCTTATATAGAATTTCTTGTTCTTCAGCCTGAATTTTTAATGAGTCTGCATGTGTATTGATCTGAGTCTGTGAGAGTATTGACGATATGATAAAGACGCGTGTCTTTGCTTCTCTGTGAGCTCAGACCATGTGATCAGCAGATTTGTTTGTTTTCACTGCATTGTACAACAATTAAAACCGAGTTACGCATGCACTGCTTGCTCACTTGTCTGAAAATGAGTGATGATTTTCCCAGACAAGGCATATCTGATGGATTTCATTTATCACAGGATTATAGAAAGCTAGTGTTTTTGGATCAATGTCGCATGGCGGAATATAATTTAGATTGATTTTTTTTCCTTTGTGTGATCAAGAATTTAAATATTGCATGAAGTTCAGCAGTATTGAAATACAGGAGGATGAATGGAATAATATTGGTAGCCATGGTGCCTTATTGATACATTATATATGGTAAGGATATACATGTCAAGTAATGTATACAGTGGAATTCATACAGGCTGACCTTGGCAAATCTAATAAGTTCATGGTGACATATGGTTTCAAGTTATTCATTAGTTTTAATGTATTGTAATCATTTTCTTGATTTGAATGTCACTGATTGTTACATACGGTAAACTGATTTACAAAATCCATCATCTTACCAGCTATTAATCTGCTAGCCTCATTTTTACATAAGTAAATTGAAAGGCTGCTATATCTTTCAGTTTTAGTCAAACATTAATATATTGATGTTAAACTGTGATACAATCATTGCATTATATTTCACGTATAATCTTTCCCTACTATTATTGTGTGCATTAACTTATCAAAGAAACTTTGTACAGATTTATACATATATTTTTGATTATTGTTGCAAACAGTTACTTTGAACATATCCATTCTTACATATATTTCATGCATGGATCTAGAGGAGGGTCGGAGTGGTGAGTGGGGGGGGGGGTTGGACCCCCCTCTCCCACTCCCATGGAATCTGCAGAGTTTTTAATGTATTTTTGGGTAGGAATTAATTTCTTTTGACTGGGATGCCCCCCCCCCCTTCTGGAAAAAAATTCCTGGATACGTGCCTTTATTTTGTTGTTGCCTGAGTGATTAAAAAGTAAAAATTAATTGTAGTCTGTCACTGTGATCTTAATAAATCATATAAATAGAATACTTTTTTATTGCCAGCCTTCTGTCAGATTAAGTAGCACTGTTTCCATACATGTATGCAGTAAGATACTGTAAATATGTGGACTTTTCAATTCAGAAACAGTTGTAATATTCATTGTAAGAGCTCTGAGAGCCTGGAGTTAATATTGATTGGTATAAGATCAGAGATTTCTCTTCACTGTGGCTAGATTTGCTTCAGAGCAATTAGTAGTGAGGCATAAAAACCAAGTGGGAATGTGTAGTGATGTGTAAAATATGGGCTTTTGTTTGCATTTCTCATTTCAATCAACGCATGTAAATCTTATTTGATAAACAATAAGGTGGTGCATCTGTATCCTTTATTAGTTGTACACTACCCAGTACCCAGTGAGTAAATTATTAAGTCTTTAATATTTTTAGTTTTTCACATTACAGAAGTCAAGTTCCTTTTTATTTGATAGTAATATTAACCAAGTAAAAGTACCAGGTATCCCAAAATACCTTGTCAATCCTGTTTTTCTTTGTATTTTATAGATTTATCATATGGAAAGATCTCTTGCATATTACATCATCAGCATAGAAATATTTTTTTTCTGAGGGTCAAATTGAAAGGAGTGTAGCTCTTTGAATATTTATGTTCTTATCAATTGGCTAGACAATACATACTTCTTCAAAGTTGACGGTCAACCTTGGATTGAATGCCGAATGTGTTTATCATCCATGACTGAATTGGTACACATTAATTTACCATATTTGATAACCTGTGAAGTTTTTTTTCTCTTCTAATTTGGCAATACCAACAGACTACTACCAGGTAAGTTCAGGTGTACTAGTTGGATGATAGATTATATGTATACCTAGGTTTATTGTTATCAAATGAATGGATTATACATATACCGGCATATCTACATCACTGATTTATACATTTACACCAACATTATGCTTTTCTACAAAAATAAATCCTGCTTTTCCACAACAAATCATTATAATGCTATTCTAGGATTATATTTTTTGCTTTTCCGTGATTTATTTTAACATGCAGATACTTCTTTTTTTGACCAGATAGATATCTTACCACAGGAGTTCCTCTGCATCATTATAAAGTAGTATATTGGTCAGCTAGATAATACAAGGTCCTATGTCATGTTTTAATCAACCTGTGGGGCTACCAGGTATTTGAATTAGCTATATAGTGAGTGTAAGGCCTTTGACAGGTGAATGAAGTAATTGAATTAATTAACAGATGCAGCTTATCACTAAGGAGTTATGAGTTAACTAATTTAATGTTCAAGGCCAAACTTGTCAAATGCATTTAGTTATCTACCTTTGGTGTCGCAATAGAACTGATCCAAAAAATTAGCTTTTTCCTTATTCCAATATTAGATATATATCAGGAGTGTAATTTCCTTGATTTTTTTAAATATGTTCATTCATATTTTGTCAATTATGCAATCATAAGTCATCTATCAAATTAGTGAAGTCTATTGATAAGTTGATATATTGACAAGCATTAGTCAGTAAAGTTGGAAATTATAATGACAGTGGGTGTATAAGTTAAATTAATCAGTCATTCCATGTATTTTGGGGAGTATTAAACCAGCAATATATTGTCTAGATAATCCTAATTTGAGGAAACACGATACCCAGATTCAT